CATAGAAAGAAAAATATAGATTTTAACGTATTGTTACATAAAATAAAATAAAAATCTATTTGGTGGTTTCTCACTGTTTAAAACAGCGACTAGAAATGAAACAAATTTAACTTTTTTGTTAATTGGAATTTCAGTTTTACATAGCTAGAATAACACATAGAAAAATATAGATTTTAACGTATTGTTACATAAAATAAAATAAAAATCTATTTGGTGGTTTCTCACTGTTTAAAACAGCGACTAGAAATGAAACAAATTTAACTTTTTTGTTAATTGGAATTTCAGTTTGTTTTACATAGCTATCCAAGCGGTAACTAGCTAACTAACTAGCTATCTATCGAAATAAATAATTAACAGTACAACTGTGAAAACATAACTGAACAATGGACAGTTCTGTGATATTATTTGTCCTCCGCATCACTAGAGGGTGACACACCATTTCGAGGTGAAGAAGAAGACAGTCAAGAGTCAACGGTTACAAGCAAGATGGCGGCGAGTAAACGCGTTCTTAATGTTGGTAAGAAAAACATCAAAATTATAAATCAAAATAATAATCACTTCGCAATCACAGCGCTATAATTTCATCCCACAATCACATGCATGTTAGTGATGCGGTTCCGGTTATCATCTGTAGCCGGGAAAGCAGCAGAAGATGAAATGTGAGCTTGAATTGAACGTTTAGTGCGTTGAATATGAAATATTATAACAAGTCAAATATACGGTCTTGTCTTGCGGAGGAGGTGGACGAGAAAGTGTTGCACGCTGCGTTCATTCCCTTCGGTGACATCTCAGATATTCAGATCCCGTTAGATTATGAGACAGGTGACAAACACAAATATTCACAAAATACACTCTTATACTTACAACTCAAACACACACGTTATACACATAACGCATGTTATGTCTGACTCTTTCTGTCCACAGAGAAGCACAGGGGCTTTGCATTCCTCGAGTTTGAACTGGCAGAGGTGAATACCTACTAAATTCCTCCTTAAATAGCATATATCATCGACTCAAATTAAAACGAGAATGCGTTGCTCCTCATTATGTTAGCTCACTATAGTTTGCACAAACCACCATTGCATGACTGGTATGTTTGCAGCTATTATAAAATATAAATGTTGTTAAATTTCTCTCTGCTTTTTTCTCCAGGATGCAGCAGCTACCATTGATAACATGGTGAGTTATTGAACCACTGACTTCTGGGGTCTCATAAAAACCAACACAGTCAGAATGTGCACTGCAAGAGTCCAGATTAATGTCTGTTTGGTTTTGTGTTCTGCAGAACGAGTCGGAGCTGTTTGGCAGAACCATCAGGGTGAACATCGCCAAACCCATGAGAATTAAAGTGGGCTCCTCTCGGCCAGGTGAGGGGTTTTTGGTTTCAATAGGGTGCATGATAAATCTCCTGATTGTTTTTCTGTTACTCGCACTGATAATGCTGTGTTAACCCATTACTTGCATGTCTATGAAATATAAATGTGTTTTTCATTGCTGCTCTGCTCATAGTGTGGTCGGAAGACGACTGGCTGAAGAAGTTCTCAGGGAAGACTGTTGAGGAGAGCGAGGAGGCTGAGTCAGCCGCAGAATCAACCAGTACAAATACACAAGAGGTGGGAAAGTTGTAATATAATAGTAATAATAATATCGTAATTAGGGCTGCAAAACGATGAATCGTGATTAATCGCATTTAAAATAAAAGTTTATATTTACAAACTATATGTGTGAACTGTGTATATTTATTATGTATATATAAATACACACACATATATATATATATATATGTGTGTATGTGTGTGTGTATAAATATATATTTATACTTGTATATAATTTATATTATATATATGAATATAAATATTTTATATTTAAGCCATCATATTCTTCCTTAATATATACATGTATGTGTGTGTATTTATATATATATATATATATATCAAAATAAAGGTTTGTATTTACATAATATATGCGTGTGTACTGTGTATATTTATTATGTTTATATAAATACACACACACATGTATATATTGTATAATTAATTATATACAAGTATAAAAGTAAATACATACAAATATTTTTTAAATATATACATGTGTGTGTGTTTATTATACATAATAAATATATACAGTACACGCATATAGTATGTAAACAAACTTTTATTTTGAATGCGATTGATCGCGATTAATCGTTTTGCAGCCCTAATTGTAATAGTATAGTTGTAATACAATAGCTGTTCATAGATAAGCTGTTCTGTTTTAGATTTTGCATTTTGAGCTTTCACATTAATACTTTCTGATTTGTATTTTGTGTTCTTGAGCAGGGAGAACCTCCAGAGAAAAAAGGCAGAACTAACCCACAGGTCTACATGGACATCAAGATCGGCAACAAACCTGCAGGCCAGCTGCGCTTCCTCCTGCGAGCGGACGTTGTGCCCATGACTGCAGGTCAGAATCACGAAACCAACTTTAGGGGCTCCTCCTTTTTTCTTTTTCAATAATCTGTTTCGCTCGAGTGTACGTCACAATACGGAAGAAAAGATCTGTTGCTACTTTTTCATTGCGACATGCCTCAGGACATCACAGCTGTTTTATTTGTTGGTTTTCCTGTAGAGAATTTCCGTTGTCTGTGCACGCATGAGAAAGGCTTTGGATTCAAGGGCAGCAGCTTCCATCGAATCATTCCTCAGTTTATGTGCCAAGGTGGAGATTTTACCAACCACAATGGCACTGGGGGGAAATCCATATATGGACACAAGTTTGATGATGAGAACTTTGTCCTAAAACACACACAACCAGGTGAGATGAGTCTTCAGTTTGACAGAAGCGTGTGTGTTTTTTGGAAGATTGTTTCATTGTTTATCCGCAACAGCCTTTGAGAACTGAATATTTAGTAAGTATTTTTGTTGAAGTCAAATCTAAATGAAGTCTGGTCTCTTATGTTTTTTGGCTGTGTGCTCATAGGTCTGCTGTCGCTGGCAAACTCTGGTCCCAATACTAACGGCTCGCAGTTCTTCATCACTGTTGATAAGACGGACTGGCTGGATGGCAAACATGTGGTGTTCGGAGAGCTCATAGAGGGCATGGATGTACTCCGGGCCATGGAGGTGAGTTGCCGACTGAGGGAGATTACGACTGTTTTACACTATTATTCAGAAGGTTGTTTTGAAAAGTCTTATGCTCACTAAGGCTGCATTTATTTGATATTAATATTGTGAAATATCTTTTACAATTTAACTGTTGTCTATTTTAATATATTTAAAATTTAACATTTTATTCCTATGATGACAAAGCTGAATTTTCAAGCAGCCATTACTCCAGTCTTTAGTGTCACATTGTCTTTCAGAAATCTTGACAGTATGCTTATTTGCTGTTCAGGAAACATTTATTTTGATAAAAGTTTAAAACAGTTATGGATATTTTTAACGATTCTTTTATAAATAGAAAGTTAAAAAGAAAAGTATTTAAAATGAAAATCTTTTGATGCATTATAAGAATCTTTGCTGTTATTTTTGATGCATTTTTTCTGAATAAAATTATTCTGGTTGCTTTTTTGTCCTGTTTTCTAATGTCTTTGTGTCTATACTGTTTCCTCAGGCTCAGGGATCAAAAGATGGCAAAACCAAATAGAAAGTCATCATTTTCAACTGTGGAGAGTTTGTGTGAATTCAACATACTCTGTGTGTGTTTGTGTGTGTGTGAGAGAGAGAGAGAGAGAGAGAGTGTTTTTTTTTTTTTTTGTAGTACTTTGTAAATATCCAAATAAAACTTTTATACATTTTTTCTGTTAATTAGTGGCCTGTATACAAGTTGTCATTTCAAGTGAACAATAATACTATAACAATTACTCATTTTCGAGTCTTCTAGATGTATATATTTGTTGGATTTAAGTGTGAACCTCTGCAATTGGGCAAAAGTTTAGGAAGTTTCATTTAAGTGTATAATGTGTTACTGACTCCATCCTCTAGATGGCATCAGTGCTGCAGGGAAACCTCTGAAGCTATGTCACAACCTACAGAACAGATATTCTGCCAAAAGAGCACTGCTCATTGAATGAAATCAGATCTCTCTACAAAGAACATTTAATTCCAATTATTGATAGCATGATGGTTCAGTCCCGATTAGGAGTTACTTTTTTTCCCCTCCCCAGTCTGCATGGTACCCTTGAGTCAGACACTTAACCTCAGGTCACTTAATGCTCTCCACAAAGATTAATTAGACATGTTCTGCTTCCTCAGATTGTAGCGCTGCAAAACTGCTGGTTAAACAAACTGTAAAACAGCTAAAACAATGAACCAGGAAACCATAATATCTTTTATTGTAAACACAGAAACATTAGTTTGTGAGATGTTAAACTGACATAGAGCCACTGAAAAAGTGAAGCCATTTGTTTTAAAAGCATAATAAGTTTATACACATCAGCAACCCAGCAAGCAATGCCCCGATCGCACACCCCCATACGACCAGTGACAGACACTTTCATCTGAATGTTTGAAGAGTTTTCCAATTATCAGACTATTTTAAAAATCTTTAAAAAAAACAGACAAAAGTAGTTACCATTTAAATACAAAGGGAACCACTGCAAATTTGGAAGGGATTTATGATTAATTCATCAGTCAATTAATTTTTGAATGCTGTTTACTAGAATTGTGTTCATTAAAAGTGATGAAAGCACATGGGGTTAATTCAAAAAGATAAGAAAACATTCACATTCAAGTTCATAATCATACCAACATTCATATTTAAATTCTCTTAAGTTTATTTCAACAGAATTACAATAAAGAAACATTTAGAAAATCCACATCAAACTATTAATCATCTCACATCCTCTATCAATTCAGAAATGTCTAGGGGAATACTGAAGCGTGAACAATTATATCTCAGTAAAATATTCCCGGACACTAAATATCACAGGGTGTCTACACAGAATGCAACATCCAAGTTATAAATTACATATAATGCCTCATTAATGCCATGGACACCATATGAATGTTTTGTGTTGTGTGACCTTGTCTGTCTTTTTTTTTTTTTTTTGATGGGTTCAGCTTAAATTCATAAGAGGACAACACCAAGACAATATTTTCTCTCTATCTGTTGAAGATCACAGATGTCTGAGAATCTGAAGTGTTTATTATGGATAAATGTTATTGTATTGTACTGTAATTATAGTCTTCATTAACAAGAGATGTAACAGTATGATCTTAAATCCTAAAACACTGATGAATGATACATTTTGCAAACAAACAATGCATTGCTCATGTCTGCCTGCAAAATATCAACTTTTATCTTTGGCAATGATTCAGAAACAAGGAACAGAAACTTTTTTTTGCCTTCTGGACTTTCCCCAATGAAAGTGCTAAAATCTCTCCCAAAAGGGTCTCAGAGCTAATGAGCCGCTGAGTGTGCTGTCATAGAAATGCACTGGTTTGAACTTTACACCTGTGTGATCCAGTAATATCTGAGTAGCAGCAGTTGCAGAGGTCAAGTGCTTTGTGCTCTTAATGTTTCCCTAATGTTGCTCTAATATTAGCAAAGGTTATGGCTTCTCCTTCAGCTGCTTCAGAACATTTATTGAGCCCTGCTGTATCAAAGTTCTAGAATTGAGAGCTATTTTTTTGCTATTTCTATGTGGTTGAAAATATTTGATCATTTTTACTTAAATCTATTTGCATAGAATCTGTTGCTAGGAAACAGGGTCACATTATTACATTATGTGCTTCAATTGTTTATTTGTGCTCTTAATTGCCATTTTAAGGCTAATTCACACTACATCGACAGAGACGTTTGTTGAGTTAGTGGGATCAATGTGTTTACCCCTTTTTGCAGTCTGTTCGAGTTGGTCAGAGTTTGTGTTTAGAAACTAAAGTTTAATTGTGTTAGTCGGGTCATGGAATTGCTGTTGGTCAGGGTTGTCGGTGCAGTACAAACCAGCCTTTATACAAATTAATTTGTAGTTTTTTTTGCAAATTCCAGCAGCAAAGTTGAGCCTAAATTACTATCCGATACAAAGTGCACAAAACAAATGAAGAGACTGCACAAATGAGCTATAAATGTACGACTTTCTTCATCTCCTAAAGTTGAATAGTGGAGCTGTGATTTTAAGGCGCCAAACATACATTTGTTTTACATGTTTTTCTTACCATGCAAAGAAACACATTCCACTTTCAAGCACTGCGTGCTGGCTTCTTGAACTTCTCTGGAGATAATGTTTAATCTATAAATATTGACCAGGCATTCTCTTTCACCAGGTCTGGAGCGACTCTGAAGGGTCATCAAAGAGATGAAATATCCTACTCATGCGATTCTTCCACCTCTCTCAGGCAAGCTGAGAACGAAGGGGAATAAGATCCCTTTGGCCTCCACAGGTGCTTTCAGAGACTCGTCTTTGAATCGACCTCCATCCTCTTCTACAATGAACTGAAGAGTCTGAGATTTATTCACACAGTAGATGCAATTATCGATGACAGCGCATCGAAACGGCAATGTGCTGCCCTGCTGCTGGGAGGCGCAGTCATGCCACATCTTCACAATGGTGTTGTATTTAAAGACGCTGATGCCCTGTTCACGGTTTACATCAAATCGATAGATGAAGCTCTTGAGAGCCACCATGTCTGTGGACTTTTTCCTGCTGTTGTTGTATGGACACTCTTGCCATTCATCTCTTTTGGGGTCGTATTTGAGCAACCTATAGAACAGAGACCCTCCCGAGACGTACAGCTCACCGTTACACGTAGTGGCTTCGTGAGCTACCGCAAATGCTCCTTTGGGTAGAGGAGCCACTGGCGTCCAGCGGTCCATTCGAGGGTCGTACTTCTCCACCGTGAAAAGACATTCACCGCCAATGGCGTACAGGTTCCCATCCATGGAGACGAGTTTGAGTTGCGATCGTGCTTGGTTCATGGGTCGGACTTTGCTCCAGCGGTCTGTGATGGGATTGTAGCAGAACACTTTGTCCGAGACTTTGCTTTTCTCCCCAGTTCCCCTGATCCCGCCGGCCACAAACAAGTAGTTGTACATGGTACAGATACCGCAGCCTCTGGTGTTGATGTCTTCTGGCATGGCGGTCAGCGTGTGCCAGTCCTTACTGCTTTTATTGTAGTAGTAGATCATGTGATTGTCCTCAAAAGACGTGATGGAGAGAGGACTCTGGGGACGGCTGCTGTTTCTGCTGGGCGGTCTACTTCCTACACGCTCAAATACGTCATTGATTTCCGCCACTATCAGACACTGGCGGTTCTCCATTCGTTTGCGCAGTATGAGGTCTCTCTCTGAGCCCGTGAGGCGCCCGTAGACCGCCGGATCTCTCAGAACCTGAAGAAAGTTGTCACTCATGAATCGATAGGCGGTTTCTTTCAGTTCATTTAAGCGCTGCTTTTTAGCGATCGTTAGGATTTCATAGCAGTTCTCTGGCGTGATCTGTGTGGATATGGTGTCGATAGCAGCTTGTACCGCACAGGGCATCTGCAGGATCTTTGCTCCTGTGATGACATCCATAATATTGTCTTTGCTTACGTTCATCTGGGAGGAGTAAACGTAATCTACAAGCACCGATAAGGTCTTGTAGCTCATTCCTTTTACCTTCAGGATGTCTCGAGAGAGCCTAGCCTTAAAATAATCACTTTTCTCAGCTAATACTGATTTGTGTGCTTGTATTTTCTGTCCGCCCACCTCTATGACTAAATTCGGCTCTTCCTTTGCAGACAGAGCTTCTCTTACTGCAGATCCAGTTGGCTTTAGCCCTTGGCTCGATTCCAGCCTAGTCTGTCCAAACGATGTTCTGTAGCGGGTCTGATCTGCTCCTTCAGAGGAACTTATAAAGCATCCTAGGGTTTTTTCAAGTGACCTTGTTTCTTGAGAGCTTGAATAGGAATTATTTTTGTCCTTTGATGTGGAGGAGACATTTTTAAGGTCAAACTGACTCCGAACCACCTCACCATCTTTTAGGACATTGGATAATTCGTCAATTTCCTTCTTGTTCTCTGCTCTGAAGCACAGAGAGGGTGCCAAACTGGAAGCTACCTTTGTTCCATTTGTTTCTTCTCTAATGTTTCCTTGACTTGAGGCTTCACTCATATTTCTCAAACTAAGGTCCACATTTTGTGCTCTAGACGAGTCCAGAGGCTGTATGTGCTCTTGAAATCCACTGTCACTAGAGACAGCATCTTGTGCGTATTCTGCACCTGTTACAGCGCTGTTGTTTCCCAAACTCCTGTTGTCAGTTAAACCTCCTGATTCTGACGTATCCCATGTACCCGGTAGACCCTGCAGTATTTCCATGTTCGGGATGCCTGTTTTCCCCAAAGCCGGGACATTGTTATTGTTCCCTTCACCTGGGATAGGCGATTCTGGAGAGTCAGGGTTTGCCGCGTGAAATATAACGTCTGCTTGTACTGTGAACATGTTTCTGTCTTGCAGAGTGTTGTTCATCTTTCTGTAGTTGTGGTAAACCTTATGTCACTCATTTAGTACTTTCAGAGCAACTCAGAAATTTTGCCTTTCCTAGCAGTAGACCTAAATGAATCCCAGTGAGCCTCAGGAATTATTGGGGTACTGATCTTTCAGAGACAACATTGGTGTGTCCTAGCTGGACAGGTTTGCTGTTTGTTCCATCAGTGTACATTTCATCCAGGTAAACAACAAAAATAAACATATATCAAGAGAAGATCCTTTGTCCTCAGTGTTCACAGCACTGGGATCAAACCTTCCGAGAAAAGAAGACAAAGTTATTCATCCATAGAATTACACTCATATTACATATTACAAATTTCTTGTAGGCCTAATCCAAATTATTTGAAAGTTAATGTTAAAAATATAATTAAAACACACCTTCTAACGTGAACTAATAGCAAGTGGTGCTCTTATGGGCAAAAAGCTTTCATTTATTCCTTTCAACAATGCAAACAATCTGTCTGCTGCAGTGACAGTAATATAGATCATGAACATCACATAATGAGTTGCAGTATCCCTCACTGATCTAAACACTGAAATGCTCCATTTAAGTCACTCTAATGCGCACGCGCATTGCTTGCCAACCTACTGACAGAGCATTATGCATTAAATCTTAAAGAGATCGCGAAACAGCACCTTTAGTTAATGTTCTGTCATTATAGTTGTTAAATTACCAATTTAAATAGATCACAAAAAAAAATGTACAGCGGACGGCAGACAGAGATTTATATATTAATAACGCTGAGGAAAAGATGAGGCATTTTCAGACAGATAAAGTAACATTAGTCTTTGAAATAATAATACTGAATATATTCTAAATTATTCAATAGACCCGGTAACGTTACTTACACGTTAAACGGCGGAATTTCTCTGCGCAATTCCTCACACAAAGCACTCTTATGTAAGTCAGTGACTGTAGATCTAAATACACCGCGCTGCAGGGAATCCACACATTATTAGTCTACGAGGGCTGAGTTTTCCCAAATTCAGACCACTTAACCATTCACAGCAACGTACTGTCCATCACATATTGTAATAAAACGGCAGTTCAATGAGAACTTTTCTTCCTCCTCATCCTCGACCAACTGTATGCGCCTGAAAGCCTCGACAGGAGAATCGGCGTCCACAAAATGTCATTATCTCAATGAAAAGAATAAAACGAAATATATTCCATAAAGCGACCCTGTGGCTCCGGATCTCATCGACACCGCCTCTCTGCCCTCGGAGTGATTTTCAGTATTTTTTATTTTATTGTAGGCTGAGGTAGATATTGATCCAAACCACACCCCCGTTTGTGTTCACCCTCTTCACATTAGAGCTGCTGATCAAATCCGCGGTTAAGCGCGCGGCGCGACGCGACGTTCCTGCACGCTGGACGCGAGGCGCCGCGCGCTGCCAAATAAAGGATGTTGCGCAACGGACAACGGGAACTCCCAAGAGCAGAGCATTTAAACGTTTATTGAATAAAAATACTAAATGTTGTGCTGAAGCATTTTATTATTCTTCAATAAAACGAGGTAGTGATTTTCTAAAGCACAGCAAACTGGATCAATCCGTGAAGAACACTGAATATATTTGATATTGTTGACAAAATACAACATGAAACGAAAAATACGTCTATATATACACATGTCCACTCTATAAAAAGCTCACAAATGTCAGAAAAATGTTATATCAGGTTTTACTCAAAGGAGAAAAAAGCAAAGCTTGAAAAATTGCCAAGAACAGCATGACTTCATCTGGCCTTCTCAAATGTGGTGAAGTTTTATGTGCACATTAAGGAAGCCCATTACTCTCCATCTTGATATTATGGGCTACACCGGTCTTCAAGAGAGTTACTAGGGTAACCACTCCATTTCAGAGAGCAACAAATCAGAGTTGAAACAGTCTGTCAGCCTGACAGCACATGGTCAGACTGAGATGTCACTATTAGCCCTCTAAATACACACATCAGCTGTTCTCAGTCTGAGGGGACTCACAAAGATCCCTGAGCCCACAAAGACTGAAAGCATTGCATATATTAGTGTGGCATCCTGTGAGGGAGGGAGGGAAGGCCTCCTGCAGAACAACTAGATCTCACCATAGTGCTAGTGCTTTTATAGCACTGAGGACTTTATTTGTAACTCAAACGTCACAAGTTTTGTCCACTCTAAATTATGACAGGCAGATATCAGATCAAAACCAAAGATTCGTACAAATACTGAGATATCAGCTATTTTTCTTTATCTTAAAAACTCTAATTACAATAATTATAAGAACTATTTACTTGGCATTTTGCAAATGGATTATTTTAGGGGTGCAATAGTGCTTGATTCTCTTTGTCTTGTGTAAAAAAATCGGTTCAAATATTATCTGCATTTATATAAATATTAATATTCTCACTCAGTGTGTAGATCCAAGTGTGAATATCAAAACATCCAATAATAATCAACCATCATAATAAAGGGATCATAAATATGACCTTTTTAATTTCCCTTTTAGGCAGACACCTTGCAAAACGAATATTTCAAGACAAATTCCTCTCAAACACATCGCACTGGAAACACAAAGAAAAAAAAACTACACATTTTCATTTTCCATGCCCATGTCAATTTTACCGTAAATCAGTGTTGCTGTTGGTAAAGTGCATTTTACAGAAATCCATTCAACCTCTGTTCAGTCTCAAATGTGATTTTCTTCTTGGGACATTCCCTTATGTATGAGCTGGCAGTTATAGTCCATCAAAAGGAAAAAGAAACTAAAAAGGGACTGAAAATAAAAAGGGCAAGTTGAAAACAAAACAAACAAATTCACACATGGTTATCTATCACACTTGCACAGATATACAAAGAACGCTGGTTAAAACAATGGTATATATTTGTTAATATACAAGTCAGAAATACATATCACAATGTGTCATTATAAAGCTTTTTCCATACCTTTAAATATTGATAAGCATTAACTTTAAATTAGAATTATGGAGGAATGCTATTTTTCTTGAACTTGTAACATAGGACACCAACTTCACTTTAGGACCCAAACAGAATCTCTGGCCCGCCAGAGAATCCCATACAAGTCATTCAGTAACAGGTTGTAGCTGATCACAGAGGCCAATCTAAAGGTCATAAACCTCAGATGGGCCCGGATTCAACCAATGTTTTAGGACTTCTTTTTAAAAAGAACAACCATTCCTTGAAGCAAACATTTTGAGATTTCCTTTCATGAAATGTTCTTTAAAGAAAAACAACTGAAATTAAATGACGAGCTGAACAGATGCAGGTACTGAAAGCATGTTTAAAATGTGACAAATGATCGAAAAATTTCTGCTGTTTGCTAGATGTTCTGTTACTTTTTTTTTTTTTTGTGAAATGTAATTATGTAGCAGTTAAAAATGTTATATTACCACAATTAGACCTGAATATTATCACACTGCAGTGGTACTGACATTTTCACAAATGCACTTTTTAATTCGGGTGAAAGTGGTAAAACACATTTCTCTGATGCATGACCGAGTACTTGGTAGTTCAGCTCATTCCTGGAACACATTCTTTTTTTTCCCCCTTCATTCAATAATCATTTTCCCCCCGTCAGCCCATGACTGAATGCAAGGTCAGTCTAAGTAACTGCTCTCTCTGACATGCAATGGCCTATAATGAAGACATACAGTAAAAGCATCATTAGATGAGAAAGAAACAAAAGAGCGATGGATACTGGTGTTTGTGCAGCTGCATCCAAACTAAAACCTGATCCTCACCGTTCTCTGAATACCTCCATCTTTTTCTCTCACAGGATGGGCAGTGGTATTTGCCACACCATAATAGTGGACACCATCTCCTCGTGCTTAGACTGTTTTGTTTTTCTGTTGATTCTGCGGTGTCCCAGTCCTCCAGACACCACCAACAATGAGCTCACATTTACTTTCTCAGTCTGCTTGGCCTTCTGGAAGTGCGCCGGCTCGTTCAGCAGGTCGTATATCGCCCCGTCCTCTGAGCCGTGCTCTAAAGAGCCCTGAGACAGAGCCAGAGACCCACATGAGGAGGACAGGGAGTCCTGGAGAACTGGAGCATGTGAGGGAGAGCTGGTACTGCTGCACCCCACCCCAGAGCAGCTCTCGTCCAGTTGGGTTCCCTCCACCTCGGGGGCCCCAGGCTGGCACTGGCTGGGTGTGTTGGAGGTGAGAGTTGCCATGGTTGCTTGGGAGACATTACACACTGCTGTTGCCATCGTGAGGAACTTGACTGGGCCATGGTGAGCATGAAAAGAGACCATTCCTCGACCTGGGGCAAGACAATGAGGGAGATGAATGACATTAAAAAGTTTGCTCAAGCATAAAATAAAAAGAGATAAAACACACACACACACACACACACAAATGTCAGAACATAATAATGAAATATATAAGGGTAGTAAAATATAACTCATCAAAACAAAATATAATTTTAGTATAATTACTAAAAAACCTTTCTGAAATGTAAATATTAAACATAAAATCAGACGTCATTAAGTGTTATTTTAGTATTATTTATATATACACTTTTATATACTTATTGGTCCCACTTTATATATTAAGTGGCCTTAACTACTATGTACTTACATCAAAAATAAGTACAATGTACTTATTGTGTTCATATTGTATTGCAAAACACTTTTGCTGCTATTGACGTGGAATACGGGTTAGGTTAGGTTAAGTTGTAAGGAATGGGTCAACCGTGTAATTACAAATGTAATTATAGAACTTAATTACAGATGTAATTACATGCAGGTATTTTTTAAAAATATAAGTACATTGTAAAAACATGTATGTACACAATAAGTGCATTGTTCCAAATGATTAATTGAAATGTAAGTGTATAGTAGTTAAGGCCACTTAACAAAGTGAGACCTATATATAATGTATATAAAAATAAATATATAAATATATAATAAAATTATATATTATCTCATTTTTTTCATTTTTAACATCAATTTCAAGTTTTTTTTTTATTTAAAAAAAGTTACAAATTTAAATGTTAAAAAGTAAAAAAATTTCATCTAATATTTATATTTTATTTCATCAGCTTTTATTCAGCTTTACTTTGTAGTTTTATTTAACAATAATAGTCACTGACTGTTTAGGCAGATGCCTTGTTCATTGTAGGGTGTGGTTTGTTCCTAAACTTCTTCTGAGTTGCAGTATTTGAAAGTGCTACAGACTTAAAATTACCCACAGGGCACTGGGCAGCAAACAAACCTCTGCCCTTAGCACAATTCCACAGTAAGCATTAAAAACTTGTTAAGAACCCACCTGTGACTTTTGGGATGCCCTGCAGTCTGGGCACGGACAGGGCCACAGTGACCCCAAGATTGGTCCCCACCAACAGCAGTCCGTGACACACTAACAGACTGCTCACAGAGACTCTCTGCTGTCCTGAAAGGGAACAATTAATTTGATTTAATTACTTGCACTGCAAACTAAATCAGAAAAACACATACTATAAAACACTTGTGGCAAGCACTCATGACTAGAGGTACTTGGTGAAACATTCGCCCAGTGGAATAATAACATCATCCACACATGCTAGGCTGTGTGGGTAGGAACTCGACAGCATGTGTGGGTAGGTTACTATGGGGATGATGCTGAACAGCAGTTGGTTTCCAAAGAAACCTGACACGATGCGCACTTACAAATGCGAGGGAGGACTCATTAGAAAGAAAAGAATGCCAAATGTTCAGATATTTGGTTAAACAAACAACTCTAAATTTGTACATCATGTACTGTACATTAAGTGGAATCATTTTAATGAAATAAATATTCAAAATGAGCTACTGAAGTCCACAGTTCTATGAATGATATTAAATCTATTTTAAAATTACTGTCATGTTGGTGATTAAATAAAATCATAAGCAATTGTCATTGTCATTTTTCACCCATTATTGGTAAGGAACATGCTATAAATTGACACTGTGAAGAATATATAAACAAACACCATAAAAAAAAAAACTAAAAGCACATTTAGAAATGGCAAGGAATGTTGTATTTAATAATAATAATAATAAAACAGTTCTTTTTACTCAAAGTATATTACTGCATCAACTAAAAAAAAAAATAATAATAATACAGAATATAAACTTTACGACCTGTTGTAAGAACTATGAAGTTAAGAAAAACAATGGGAGGGTTAAAGATTTTATGCACTAGACTTTTACCTAAATGCAATAGCAATGTGTTTATAGTTTATTAGTGTGACTAAAAAGAAGTATGTCATCGGGCCAGAGCTGTTCTTTTGTCACTTATCACACATGAGCAAACAGAAATGCTGGTAAAAAGGAACTACACTGACTGAAAAAACACCCTGCAAACACCTATTTGGTCAGGACCAGACTGCAAGTTTGAAGTATCAGAGAACAATATCCTGTTCAGCTGTTCCTTAGTGCTCACTGACTCGTTAGGAAAGGGTTTGCTCATATTTCTGAACATCACAGATCATTTCATTAGTCATGGAAACTCTAATCGGGAACTATTGCTAAACAAATGAGGACCGAGTTTGCAAAAACATCTGCACAGTTTTGAAGTGTTTTACTACAAGTCCTGTAGACTAAATTAGTAGACCAAATCTGTCACAAAGAAACTAAATTAAGTTTTAAATGGCCACTTTATCAACAACTGTTCAGTCCTTCTAATGGACAATGGAGAACGACCCATTTAGCTTTATACACTTTTTAAATATGTTTTATCTGTTACTCTGCATAAGTTATTGTGAAATTGTCTACAAAATGAGAGGGTCCTTTATGTTTATAAAAAGAGTCTGTGGTGCGTTCTCGTCATCTGACTTAGCTGTGGGCTCTGTGTGTGTGTGTGTGTGTGTGTGTGTGTGTGTCTCCAGTCTGACTTTCAGAAGTGGGACAGAAAGACATGGCAGATTGAGTTGGCATCAAGTTTATCTGAAATAAAATAAGTTTAGGTTTTTGAATATTTTACTTTATCTTAGTTAACATTTATTGTATTTTTATGGTTTTAGTTTCAGTTAACTAATAATAACCCTGATCAACATCCATGTAATATATACTACTATAACTAATAATAATAATGAATATCATGTGTACAATTTATTTTGTATAAGACTATCTGTACAAGCCGTCTTTAGTGTTTTAACCATGCTAAGCTGTTCAGTTAATCGCCTGCTAGTTGAGTGATATTGTAGCTGATGTCTTTGTACCACCATCAAAAGACTGACACACTTTATTATAAATCATGCCAAGAACAATCAAAACTGATTTGTCAATGAGCAACTCAGAAAAGCATGTGCTGATTTGATGGTGGGGGAAATCTTATGAGCAACATGAAAAATGACTCTCTGTAATGCATTTCATTATATTTAAACAAACCAAACCACAACCAGTATCAACATGCCAGAATTTAATCAGCTCTAATGCTGATCTAACAAACTGGAGGAAAATTAAACATTGTGCAATTTTTCAGACACTAAGGGGGGAAAAAAATCTATCCAAGCATTAACCACTAATGGGGCTAAAAGAGTTCCTGAAGTAACATCCTTTCAATTAAAAAAATTAAACATATTGTCCATACATAATTGATGCGATAATGAAGATCTATCTGAACCCCAAGAGTCAGTGCAGCTGTTTTTGTGGTGGCTGCTCTGTTTGTGCCATTACTTACTCACATGAGTGAGTATTTGGGTCACAGGAGACAAAGCCATCAGAGAAAAATACCACTGCCTCCACTATCACACACTGATATCAGTCTTTATAATTTCCACGAAGGCCATAATATGCATTTCAAGACTTTCACTCAACTCTTGATAGAGGATGACTCTTCTGCAACTCACAAAAAAGGTGGTTGTTCTCATTATGATGACAAATGGATTCAAAAAGCCTTGGTACATTTGTAATATATCAGACAAACACCAGCACATATGGAATGCAAACAATGTTTTAGCAGCTGGAAAATCCATTAACGGGAGAAGGGATCATGACCATGTCTGCCAGTCAGTTCAGCAAATGTTACATAAGACACTGTTGTACAGACAACGTGATGTGTGGTTTCTGTAAGGTAAGTTCAGGACAGACTCCATCTCTCCAAGGTCAGGACACAACACAAAGGAATTACGCTACCAATCCCTCATCCTAAAATCTGCTCTTGCGTTACTGAACACAAATCAAAAGGGTTTCAGGTTCTCGCTGTCTGAGGTGACTGCTAGCCATGCAAAATGTTTGTATTCAGTTGTACTGAAGTTAAACTCAGAAGCTACAGAAATATGATACAGATGAATTTCCCTCCTATGGTAGTACACACCAATTGTTTTGTGTCATTACCTTCTTTAACAGCAATTTTTTTTTCAGTTTAAGGGTTGAAACTGAATGGATTTCCATACAGTGTCAGTTTCACTCAGCAATAAACGTTTGTCCTTCAAGGTTATTCAAACTTCACATAATTCCATTGATGAGCCACTGAACTACCAACAGAAAGAGCATAAAATACCATAAAATCCCAAGAAACACCTGAGAGACAAGTAAAGACAACACAGCACGGGAGGCGACCAGCACTGCCTTTCATGAACGAAATCCTGCCCTGACAAATAAGCCCCAGAGCTTAAGGAATAGCCGGGCATGATCCGACATACTCAGCACAACCAAGCTGAAGGATTCTGCTGGCCAGCCAGAGGCAAAATGCTGCTGGAATTTAAAAGGCAATAACCTGCATTTTAGATGAAATTACTTCTGTTCAATCAAATCTTGCATTCAATGATGCCATATGAGATTACAAAGCAATTCTGATGGTAATGAATGCATCTTTTGCTGTATAACTTAAAATCTTTAAAAAAAGTAACCAACTAAAGCTTAATGGAGACCCTTCCAATAAACATATTTCTGCAGGGAATTATACAGTAATCTGGCAGGTCCACACCCTTTTAAAACTGTACAATTGAGCCTTTCAAAGCCAGGCGAGTAGGTACCAACAGCCCATATTATTGTTAGACACCAAATCTTTCTGGTAACAACAGTAGATAAGGAGATATGCCAACAGATTACTCAGATCTGACTAATCAGATCGAAGGAAACTTTAGCAGGACTCATCTTGTCCAGAGTGTTGTGTTATATGTAGAATCAGGAAGTGTGAATGCACATCAATGATGACAAATGCTCAAAAATTGACTATTTTATTGAATTATTAATCAGTCATATGAAAATGAGCAACTTCTAATACTAAAATATTAGGGGTCCTAATAATCAAAGTGTAAAATGCAAGATTTTTCTTTCAAGCAGCAGTGAAACAGCATGAGGGAACTACAGCTGCAGTCAGAGACACACCCTTATACTCTCACACAGGAAGTCCTTCTTGTGGCCGATGTCTCCATGCAGACAGTTTCCTTTGTGGCAAACTGCTGCATGGGTTCATGGTGAGGGATTGCTGAACTCTACTCAACCTCACCACATTTTCCTTCAAACAACTGATTCCAGAAAAACCCCTCCCCATCCAAACAAAACACTGCGATAGAGCTGATAGATCAGTTTCCTCTTCTAATGAAGGTCAGGGGAATATTATTAGCATGGACTGTTAGAAACAAATCCTTGATGTATCTAATAATAGATTTAAAAACATTGTTCTGCAGCTGCACAGAAGCACAGCACATAAACGAGGTCTTTTGCAATGTTCCCAACTTCATACTGAACATACAAAGTGAGGTGGGGAAATATACTGCCAATGTATAAAAATAAGGGCATTTCAGATTAGGGCTGCTTGATTTGGATTCTCTTGGAATCTAATTGTGATTTTTCTCAAAAAAAATATTGCAATTGTGATTTAAAATGCAATTTATTAAAGCTTCAAGTTTGCCGTGCTTGTTTGTAGGGCTTCAACAATTATTTGATTACATAAGAATATGAGTGGTATTAAAATAATAAACAAAATAAGAAGCATTACTACTGTAATACTGACTTGTACAATCAAAAATATTTTAGAAACAAAAATAATTTTATTTTACAGTACAACTGTAAAATTACAATACTAATATTTATGGCTGCCTTAATTGCTTCATTTTTAAGTTAAACAACCAAGCTATTAATCTTGCTGAAAACTGCAGGGAACCCTGGAAACTTTACTTTTGTTAAAAGCAGCAGGTTTCCAAATGATCTAAAGCCATATAGCTTTGCATCATGAATGGACCAAAATTTATTAAAAGTTATTCACCAATTATTATTATTTTTTGATAAACTCACAGCACTAAAGACATTAATGATTAATGTTCAATCAGCTACCCTGATACCCTCAACTTGATAACCTTTGCCAATTCATTTCCATATAAATAGCAGGCCGCTCATGTATTTCACAGAGCCTAAAGAGCTAAAAAAAAAAAAAGATCTCAAAAGTAATGTACTCATGAATAATGATCCTTATCATTTCCAGGTCTAGAACAGCATGCAAATATTAGACATAAGGAGAGAACGAGATACAACATATTCAGTGAGGGACTCCCAACACACAGTCAGAGAATACCTGGTCCCCCGTCACTATGGAGATTTAAATAAAGCTTCTTTATTCAGCCCTGGAGAATAAAGAAACAGCCCTCTCATTAACAGAGCACATGTGCAGCGAGTGACTCAATCCCTATCTATACATTCAACACATTTGATTCATTTATCCCACAGGTTTCATACTTAAACATATCTCTACAAGATAGACACTGTCATATGTTGCAATGAAATGAAGTGCCAGAAATACCACACCACCACCACCACCATTCCAGTGTTCCATAAAATGGGCTATTCTACTATTTCTACTACTATTCTGCTAAATGTTTCAGATGAACCTGCCCCCAAAATGCCACAAACATAAAATAAACTGTGACTGGTTGGCGGCTTAACATGTTGGTCAGAGGGTCTCTTCCAGTCCAAGTAGGTGGTTCTTGGCCAGAATAAGATGCAATATGGACCAAAACTCATGCAGTTTAATCTGGCTGTGCAAGACTAAGTCCTTAGACTGCATTTTACTAATTAGAAAAGAAAAGACATTTTGGCAGAGATTACGATTCAAAAAGATTACAGCCCCAGTCCTAAACCCAGCTGGTGTTAAAGCGGCCAACATGCCTGCTGCCCGACTGACACGGTTGGTTAATTTGGGAATATTCGGCGAGGATTATTTAGGGCCAATGTGGACTTTTTAATCACTGAGAAGTTAGTATTCGAACATAACTGCTCACACACGCATTAAAGCTATTATGTAGCCACCATAAAAAGCAGAAAGACAGAGAACAAAAACCAATGCTGAGGACATTTCTAGTATAATCGCTCTCTGAATGGCTTCCTGAACACAAACGGCCCATTCAGAACAACTAAAAACAAATGCTGGATAAAATCCAAACAACACAACTAGTAAAAATGTGAAATACTGCCACACTAAGGAAACTCAACCCCTGATTTCCCCTAAAAAGCTTTTCTACAAATAAGGTGTCAAATCTACCTGCTTTAATTCAATAATGGCAAAAACAGACACCTTTTCATTTTGCTTTAAGAAGAAAAAAAAAACACAGACCAACATGACATCATCTGAGTAAGGAAATGAACAAGATCCGGTTATTTTTTGTTGTTGTTGTTTTAAATGAAGTAACATGGCTCTGTGATTCGAAAAGAGACTCTGTAATTCTGTTCTTCCACATGAAAGAGAATCACATGACAAAACAACACACCCACTCATGATGTCATGTTATTATATAAACAGAAAGCTGTAAATCAGCAGAGTCACCTGTAATCTGCCACTGTCTGAGGACTACAAATGACAGGGAGCTGTCTCTAAGGGCTTAACTTTGAGAATGACAGTGTGGAAGGGAATACTTTTAATGGGATATAAGCAGCAAAAACAAGTTTAGTAAGAACTGCATTAGCAACTCCACTGGTAGTCCAGCAGAGTATTAACAGCATCCTCTGTTATGTTTTGTGATGACGTAACATAGTATACTGTACCTGGGAGTAAGTTGTTGACAGCTGTGGCGATATTGATGTCTTGCAGGTGGTCGAGAGTCTCTGTGTGGAAGAGTCGGAGGGTGGAGCCGGTGCTGAAGGATATCCAGATCCCGACCCCGGCCACCACCATGTGGGACACGACCATTCCCTCTTCCTGATGGGCTTCAAACTGACGCTGTCAACATCCACACACACACACACACACACACTTTTTATAAATACACAAGCATCTGAACTCAAACATACTTCTACTTAGGCTTGGCTGGATTGGAAAACACTGGCCTGACTTTACTTGGCTTAATTTCTGGAAAACTCTGCCTGTGTAACCTACCGAACTGAGGAATGAGGTAACCCAAAAGAAGGTCCAGAGTAGGAAAAAGAGATTGTGATTTGACCCACTTCACTCAGAGAGGGAGAGGATGACATTTGGATTCTGATATGCTACAGCTTGACGTCTTTGCTGGAGCAAACAAAATAACAAGGAACTGCAATGGGAAATTTAACAGGGTTTGACGAATGTGTGTCCCACAAGCACATCAGAACCGCCACATTATTAAGACTGGAAAAAAAGAGAAACAATCTGGCTCTTGCATTTCTGCACATCAGAATCTGTGATTTTCTTCTCATTAAAGATGATCTCAAACACCACTTTCTATTTGCATCACTGATTTCGTATTTCTTTCCAGCACACCTCTCACATATTCATCCCTCCCTCACTCTCTACCATTCCAGCCAATCGTTTAACAGTAAGCAGAGCTGTTGAAGGGTAATGAGCTTAGTGATGCTGGCTGGATAACAGGTCAGTGTGTCAGTGTCTGCGTGTAGGAGAGAGAACACATGGCTTTAATATTCTGAGATCACAGCAGGCCTTTCTGGCCCTATGTGCTGTGAGACTGAGTGAAGAAACAGAGTTTTCACTCTCTTAAGATAAATTATAGACAGCTGTTAGTGGCATCACAGTATTAGGTCAAAACAATATACACCCACACATATCTTTAAATATGCAAATAATAGTCTAAAGCCTATTTCCATGCAGAACACTTGCAATATTCTGTCCATTTGGTTTACTGTAACAGACTTTTAAAGACCTGATGAGATGAGAGTGTGGGAAAACACCTCTTATTTCATTCTAAAGTTATTATCAAATTATCACAAATTTGATACCTAGGTGTAAACAAATCATTGAAGGTTCATGTTTTGAAATGTTTATGTTTTATAATATTAATATAGGTTTTATATTAGTGTCTCCAATAAAATAAACTTAAAAGATAATGAAGCCTTAGAAATATTTGGATTTTATAGTAAGAAATGGATTCTTGTAGACTGTAAGACTATTTGCTAAACTAAAACCTGGTCATTTCAGTAGCAAAACAGGTGCAGAAATGCCAAGTTCTGTCATGAATCTCTAGATGTCACAGGCTGATAGGTGCTGTAAGCCTGTAAACGTAAACTGATGATATTCACAGCGTTAAACGACTTGGCACAATCTGATTAGTTCTTGTTGCCTCCCCCTTCCCCAGCTCCACCTGTATTGATCTGCTACAAGTTATTATATATGCTACTTGTGCAGCAGTAGTATGTCTTAAATACTCACAGCACCATATCAGCATATGTATTGTAAGTAGCAAGTTCCTGTACTTGCTTGCAGCAGCAGAGACTAAATACATTAACACTGTCATATCCATTACCATGCTAAAATCTTCGGAGAGTTGTCATAATAGAAATGTGTGAAAAGTGCTGTACTACCTCCACAGTGTGTGTCTGTGTGCTGATGATGAAGATCTGCCCTCCTGATGAGGCCCAGACGTGTTCACCCACCACCAGCAGGGCTTTAACTGGCAACACCCCCAGCTTCAGCACACGTGCCCCTGACTCGACCCAGGAACCGTCTGTGAGGGAGAGCAAAGACTTGAAGTCAATCTGAAATTCAGATATCAATGTTTGTAAATGTACAGAGAAGATAGAGCTTATGAACCCTGAGTGTGAGAGATTTGGTGTAAAACTGATTTTGCGAGAGAGAAATTAGGTTAAAGGTTACGTATGATGTTGTCACACAGAGGTTAGGGCTGATACTACATCCTGTACTCCTCACCCACACTGTGTGTGTGGGTTACCTGCAGAAATATAGTGACCTCACAGCATTCAGAGGGCAGAATGGAGGCGTGTTGAGTGTTTGTTTAAGTCACAAAGGCTTTATTGAAGAGAGACCTGACAATCATCGAGGTAAAAGAACACCTCTCATAGTGGAAATACTAGTACCACTTTTTCACCCGAAAAATGTTGGATCTCATGCTGGAGCTGGTGTTCTGACTGGGTATCGGCAAACCTCTTTCAGGATCAGTTTTGTTGCAGTCCTTCTTTACGAGCTCAAATTTGAGAACACATTCTGACATCTAAAGTAAAAGAAGCACTTGCTGCTGAATCGGATTAATGCAATGAACTCAAGTGTAAATATACAGCGGATAAAATAATGGCAAATCCATTAACACATTAGATATTTGTAAGTTTAATCATTTTATTATTATTTTTTTCACCAAGGCTGCATTTATTTAATCATTAATACATTAAAAACAGTAATATTATGATTATATATTATTAGAATTTAAAACATCAGTTTTTTAATACATTTTAAAATGCCGAATTTTCAGTAAAAATTACTCCAGTCTTCAGTGTCACATGATCCTTCAGAAATCATTCTAATATGCTGATTTGCTGCTCAAGAAATATTTCTTATTATTATCAATGCTAAAAACAGTTGTGCTACTTAATATTTTGTGACATGTGATATGGACAATTTTGAATGAGGAAAAGATAAAATGAAAATTAAAGATAAAACTTAAAAAATAAATAAGAATTATTAAAGGGGTCATATGAACATTATTTGGTGTATTTGGTGTAATGAAATGTGTTTATGCGGTTTAAGGTTCAAAAAACATTATTTTCCACATACTGTACATTATTGTTTCTCCTCTAGAGAATAAAAGTTACGCCTTCTTTCTTTGCGTGAACATTTGGGCGGTGTTATGCAAATCTTCCCACATAGTGACGTAGGTATGTGGGGGTGTGTTAGAACGAGCCGTTTTAGGTAGGCGTGGTTGACTCTTAACTTTTATAAAGAATATCTCTTTGGATTTGAGACTTTAGTCTTTGCAACCTTATAGATCTTCTTTATGTACCAAGAGCTTGTAACACTCCAAAGAGAAAGGAAAAATTGAAATCGCATCATATGACCCCTTTAAAAAGAATTACACGTTTAATAACATTTACACTAACCCATAATAATCTTCACAAATCACTGATAGCATTCATCTGTTTCTGCCTGCATCTTCCTACCCTCCAGCATATTTGCGCGGATCTTTATTCAGCTTGTTTGCTTCAAGAGGCTCCGATTACATAACACCAGCGCCTACACAGTATTCCCAAACCCTGTCTTCATCTCTTGCTCTGATTCAAACAGACTTGTGATGAGCAGGGTTGTAAGAGGAAAAAAAAAAAAGTGTTTTAATGAAGACACATTTTAGTGATTAAATGTCAATCTTTGCATTAGCACTAAAGACGTTCTGTATTCAGCTGAATGAGTAAAATGTAAACGAAGACTGACTGATTCAGAACACAAGGCTCATGATCTGATAATGCTACCACATGATGAAAATCTTCATCTGGAACTGTGCAGTATTTCCGAAATGGCTCCTCCTATGAGTATTACTAAACGTTAAGTATTACATTATGTAAATACTAGGGCTGTGAATCTTTGGGTAGACAGCGATTCGATTCGATTCACAGGTTTTTGATTCGATTCAAGAACGATTTTTGCAAATTTAGAACGATTCAATTCGATTCGATTCACAATGAAATTAGATTCGATTAAATTATTACGATTCGATTCTGTATTCTTTAAGTGCATTCACAGGATTATTTAAATGCTTCCCCTAAATTCTTTAAATGCTTAGTCAGGGGGCAAATTACACAGCAGCCTTTATGTTTACAGAGAAAAAAATCACCAACATAAATTTATGTTTAACATACAAGTAGGCATATAATATTTAAGTATTTAATCAAAGGATGACTCCCTATGCATCTGCAGAGGTGTGGGCTAAGCCTGTCCACTAAATATTTTTATATTTATTTTTTTTATTTTTTTACAAGGAATTATTTTCTTATCTATTACTTTGAATTTGCTATAAGAAATCAAATACACGTCTGGACAATAATCAATCATTTGTAATCTATATCAGCAAAAAGTAATATACTACTGTAATATTATTACTTTTGTAATGCGTTACTCCCAACACTGCTAAGGAGAGATCACACATCAGCTGCTCGTGTCAGTGAGACGAACGGAGCACGAGCGCAATCCTGTGACAGTCACAGGCGGTAAATAGTGGAGCGCGTGAAGGAGAGATGCGAGGCACGAACACTGTTCAAGGTCTCCATTAATTCGTGCTTGTAGTAATTTAAAGTGTATATATTTAGAAAGCATTTAATCGCTATAGAAATCGCGATTCATTCGATTTAGCGTTTTAAATGTTTCAAGATCGATGCATATGCATCGTCAGGGTTTGTAATCGATGCATCGATAAAACGAGTGGATCGTTACACCCCTAGTAAATACTGAGAAGAGAACACTAAAAAGTATCATAATACACTTACATAAACTACTGTTTAAAGTCTGTGTTTGGAGTCTTTTGGTTACTTATTTGATCAAAAATACAGTAAAAACAATAATATTAAATTAAATTTAAAATAACGCTTTACTTCTTGAATGCATTTTAAAATGTAATTTAGTCCTATGATGGCAAAGCTGAATTTTCACACCAGTCTTTAGTGTCACATGAGCCTCTAAAAAATTATTCTAATATGATGCTCGAGAAACATTTCTTACTATTATCAATCAATGTATTATCAATCAATATCAATGTTGTAATATTTCTGTAGAAACCATTATATATAATCATCCTAAAACAACAGTGTCATTAGAAAATCCATTAAGTTCAATCAGTCAGAGTATTAAACATTATCCCTAAATTATTGACTAAATATCTGTCTCAGGCAACATAAAACTGGAGCGAGAGTGAAATGGAATATGAGCGTTCCAGAGAGAAAAACAGCTGTGGAAAGAATTAATGAGAGATGGGGAAAAATATTTTTAAACGTCTCACTTTCCTTGAGCATTTTCCAGAGCACTCCCTGCTGAAACCTGCTTAATCCAGTGTGAATTTAGGCTAGTTTATGCTGGTTACTTATTGGCACAGCCATGCTGTTCACCAGCAAAACTTAGCTTTGACTGGTTGACCAAGAAAATCTTGCTGGTTAAGCTTGACAAGAAGCACACCAGCATCCAGTGTGGTTTTCTTTTCAGCAGGGATGCATGGATTACTTTTCCTAACACCAAAATAAAAATCAAACGCATTCAACAAAATCAAACCCTTATCAAGATTCAAGCAGGAATCACTGCAGAAAGAAACTCCTTACCATCAGCCCTGGAGTAGACGACCAGAGAACCGCTGACCAAGCCTGCATACAGACACCCACTCTTGTACACCAGACATGTGACACTGGACTTATCAGGGGAGAAGAAGTGCTGCAGGCGAACCTTCTTAGACCGTTGGCTGCTCTTATACACAGATATACTGAAAAATAAAACGTCAATTCATCAGATTAGACTGGTTAATAGACTATAAATCACTAGACAAACAAATAGAAGGCATCACACTCTCCTCTTCATCTATATGGAGTTTGTGGATGTATTGGCTGATGTACACACCTGCCTTCCTCCATTCCCAGACACACAGTCGGTGTGCCACTGGCTTTCCGGTCCTCAGGCTTCATCTCACCATTTTCCAAGGGCTCATCCAGAGGCACATACGTCATGCAGAGAATACGCGACTCCACATTAAAACACTCGGTTACTTTGGGATTTGAGTTCTGCAATGCCACAATGGAGACCTGACCCATGTGATTGGTGCAGCTGGCCACCTGAAAAGAAAGAGATGATTTCAGAATCTACACATCTCACTGTTCCTTCAAACTGTTCAACAAAACTGATTTGAGTACTAAAGTCTGATGCTTTTTCCAAAGGTGATGTCTCAGATCACACATGCAGAGTGCTCTTAAAGGAGTGTAGCCCATCATTGCAGGCTCTTAGGTGTCTCAGAGAAGATAATTATTTTATGACCTTCTATACGGTAAATACAGCCTTTAATGCAACCTTACACTCACACTGGCCACACAGAACAGTGTTTAATGATGCTTTCAGAGTTCAAAAGAGCTTTAAAATGATTAAATGCTGTTTCAGGTCAAGTACAATTCGGGAACAAACATACAAACACCAGACTGACAGATTCATATCATGTTGGACTCTAATAAGGAAGCTGAATTGATTTAATATAAAGCGTTTTAAGTTTTGACCGTAAATTGTCTCACCCATACACATCCGTGACCCATAACAGGCAGATCTGCAGTGCTGTCAGTGTTCACATGAGGCTCAGGGTTGTGAACTGCACACTCCACCTAACACAAATACACATTGGTTTATTAGACCATTTTTGCTATTATAAACAATAATGATAATGAGGACACAAGATGTTTGGTTGGTCACCTTGAACTCCTGCAGTTTTGACATGACCACAGCCATCTGCTTGAGTAAGAGAGGATGGTTTTGCTTCCTCATCTGATTACCATCATCTTCAGCACAAAACCAGCCTTGGATGTTGTCTTCCTCTGAAAAAACACATTACATTAGTGAAGCATTCCTCAGATTCTACAAACCAATGATATTCCCATGTGTGTCCTCCTGTTGCCAGCATTATAATCCATTTGTCTGCACTGAACTTTTAGTTCTGGCTCGGCTGAGCGATGATTCACACACACTGAACAATATGAATCCTGCCGGCACATTTTTTTTATGTATTACAAACATGTTTATTTAGAAAATATGCTGGGAACATCATATTAAGGTATGTTTAAATGTGTTTCAGACATTTGGGTGCTTTTAAGTCCTAGATCTCTAATCATAGAAGAGTCATAGACAAAGACAGGATATGGAGACACAGGAAATGACACGTACGTAGAGCCAATTTAGCCATCTGCATATTACTGATCCAAGCTTGCTTGATAGATGGACTGAAAGTGTTGAAGACTGCAGTGAAGAACGTGGGTCTACCATACCTGAAAAGTCCAAATCACAAAGTTCAGATTCTTCTCTGAAAAAGCTTTAACAATGGAAACAATACACATTTGTCTGAATTCATTGTAAGTGCATCAGGCAGTATACAAATCTCTTGGGTAGTCTAAATATCTCAGCACGGGTTCAGCTGGTCTGGCGAACTGTCAGGCAGCTGGAGAAACAGACAGGGTCCTATCCTGTTTATCTGTGACTTTGCAGGATATGATTTAATAATTGGCCAGTTTCAATACTAATGAACAGATCACAGAATTGATAACTTTCCTACTTTTGTTAGTATTTTATGACTTTCGAAAGGGGCCCTTAAACTTTCATTGTGTAGAAATAATAGATAGAATAATGACCAGAACTAAAATAGTGAAGCCATGTAATCCAGACTACTCCCACCACTAACTCAAAAAGAAAGTCAACAGCATACATTTTCCAGAAGTCACAGTGTGTGAGAGAGATTTATGTTATCAGAAGAATTAGTTTGACAGCTGGGAGTCTAAAGATACTCCTATAATCCAGACACTAAAATCCAAGCATACAGTCGCAAATAATCGGTGTGTGCGTATGTTTTTGACAACTGCACACTCTAAAGCTCCTGATCCAAAGGAGGAGTATAATAGCCGCACAAGACGGTCTTTGGGCTCTGATTAGGGACTTAAGGTCATTCTTTAAGCACCGAGTCACGTAAACACAGAGACATGGCAGTTTGATAATTTAAAAGCCTGAGTTTTAAGACATTCAGGAAGACCAAATAAATCCAAATTATGGTATATTTCTGCTCCCTAATAAAAGATAATAATAATACTAAAAAGACAATTGCAATATAATTGAAACAACACATTAACTACAATAAGGATAGTTAATATTAATTGCAATTAAATATGTAAATACATTTATAACCCTCTAAAAATTTAAATTTTACCATTTAAAAATTTGGATCACCAAGATTTCTTTATAAAGAAATGAATACTTTTATTCACCAATGATGCATTAAATTGATTCAATGTGACAGTAAAGACATTTATAATGTCACAAAATAAATCTAATTTCAAACAAATGCAGTACTTTTGAACTTTCTATTCATCAAAGAATCCTGAAAAAAAATGTATAAGGTTTCCAAAAAAATATTAATCAGCACAACTGTTTTCAACATTGAGGATAATAAGACATGTCGGGTCAAGTCGAGGTCACACATACTTGTCTTGTTTCCCTGGTAACTGTAGTTGTATCCTACAGCGATCAGCTGCCCGAATCTCCTCCTCTTTCTTTAAAATCAGGCGCTGGAGACCTGAAACCCAATCCTGAGCAACTATCCCATTAACATTCTGGAAAGAGAGAGAGTGTAAAATGGACTTTGAGTGGTAAGAACGGTGTGCATCCTGGTTTAAATATTGATCCTAAAGTGTTTGTGATATGAACACCTCACCTGATAATTCCCCTTCAGACTGCTGATCATAGTAGAGATCTGGTTCACCAAACCCAGGTCATGGATCAGGTTCTGTAGGTCCTGGTAAAGCTGCCCTGGACCCATATAAAACTTACCTGCAAATGAGACACAGCCGATTGAAGTTAAAACTCCAAGTAATAACAATTCTTACCTTTAAACGGCTTAAATAATACCACCATCACACTGCTGTTTGTTTAGTTTGGGTCAATTAAAATTTCCCATCTTCACTAGCACTAAGGATTACGGCTGAAACTGAATCATAGTATACAGTGAATCATTAAACGCTGGTTCAGATGAGTCATTATGAGACTGTGCTGTCTGCTTCCCAAATACTGACCCACACAATAGACTGCTTTGTGCTGCTCTGCTCTTCCAAGATAAAGAGAGAGACAGAAATGTTGAGTAGAGAGTGAGGGGAAAAGGAGATCGAGAGAATGAGAGAGAAAAGGAGCAAGCATGTATTTTCTTCTACTCAGAGCTGAAGTAAAATGTGAGTCTCTCTCACACACAGATACACCAATGAAACATGGCTCAGAAGGCAGAGTCAGCCATATAAGATCTCACACAGCCTGCAGTTGGCTGCATTTGTGTGTTTTTGTTTTGTTCAGTTGCATCAGGTTCTGCAAGTATGCAACATTCATCATTTATAAAAGAGGACAAAACTTTGTTGCCCTTGTGCATCATTTTATAAAGACCTGTTAATTGTTAACTAAATTTAAAACTACAAAAAATTGTTTTCAGTAACTGAAATTAAAACAACTTAAATATTAGAAAGGCTGCCTTGGCAACTAACTGAAATAAGTTTAAGTACTAATATTACTAAAACTAAAACTGAAATAAAAATTAAAGCTATAAAGAAATCTAAAAAAAACAATAAAAGTACTAAAATATAAATTAAAATAAAAAAAGAAAACCATGAAAATATAAAAATAAAAGCCAATATTAATAATTACTGTAATAGTATATAAATTACTAAAATAACACTGACAAATACCAAGGTGGTACTTCAGCACTTCACAAAGTCTTACACACTTACTAACTAAACTTAACAGAAAAACTATAGAAAATGTATACACTCTTTAAGCTTCAGCAAAATTGAAAAATGTAAAATGGTACTCTGGAATATCTCCATAACCTTTTCACAGCATCCGTAACAGTGACATCACCTCCCCTCCTGGTAGCTTTGTTCTTCGTGGTTAATTAGAATTTAAAAAGTAAAACGAGAGAGAATAAAGACAGAAAGAGGCTGGGAATGCAAGAGCTCTTGATTCAGTGCTCTAGTTTGAATCAGAGCAGCTCTTGCACACAGACTGTGTTTTCAGTAACCATAGAGACAACACCAGTCTTTTTCAAATGCACAGAAAAGTGATTTTTCTACCTTCATGCATTAGTAGAAAGGCACAGAGAGTCCAACATTTTTTCTCTCTGTCTAAAACTATAAAAGCTTAAACAAGAATCCAATTGAGACCTACAGTGTTGTACTTCTACAGTGTGGGTTTTTGCATAATATCTTGTAAAATCCCACCGGAGTCCCTTCATTTGTCACCTCAGCTGTGCTGAACAGAGCACACGCAATGAAACAGGAAAAACAGTCTTTCCTCTTTTGTTCAGCATTGTGAGTCAGTGTGACCCGTTCTCTCCAAACCACAAAAACAGAGCAGACAGCCTCCAAGAGGAGAAAAGACGTCCTCAACGGCAGATGATTTTGAAAAGAAATGTTGCGTCATTAGGGGTCAAGCACTGAAGGGCTGTTTTATTATTATTCTGTGTTTTCTGCACTGGAGTCTCTGACGGCTGCAAGAACTGCAGAATCCAAAAGATACATATGTGACCCTGGACCACAAAACCAGTTATAGGTTTTATGAAATTTAGAAATTTAGATTTATCATCCGAAAGCTGAATAAATAAGCTTTCCATTGATGTATGGTTTGTTAGGATAGGACAATATTTGGCCGAGATACAACTATTTGAAAATCTGGAATCTGAGGGTGCAAAAAAATCTAAATATTGAGAAAAATCACCTTTAAAGTTGTCCAAATGAAGTCCTTAGCAATGCATATTACTAATCAAAAATTAAGTTTTGATATATTTACGGTACGAAATTTACAAAATATCTTCATGGAACATGATCTTTACTATCCTAATGATTTTGGCAGAAAAGAAAAATCGATAATTTTTGTATTGTTGGATATTGCTACAAATTTACCCATGCTACTTATGAATGGTTTTGTGGTCCAGGGTCACATATATGTAAATCAGCACAACATTATAAATATTCATCAAGCATTACATTGAAACTAGGGATGCAAAATAAAAGTATCGGTATCGGGCGAGTACTGGAAAAAGTGGTATCGGTGCATCCCTAATTGAAACCCATATTTACAGGAGGTAGGACAGCAGTCATTTTTAAAACAACCCTCTGACTATAATCCCTGGGGAAACAGGCAATCCACTAAAACAGATGACTTTTAGCGGACTAGCACAGCACTTGGCGAACACTTCAAAGCATCCTGCTTTGCATGGTATAATGAGGAGAAATGTTGTGTGTCTAACTTCCGTGCTTTAAGCAGAAAGCTTTTCAGTTCTATCTCTTACCTCCTCCTTTCCCTATCCCCATCTCTCTCTATAGTTTTCGGTCTTCGCAGTTTCTCCTGACATGTTTCTATCAATGATTAATTTTTAGGATGTCACATTAAAAGCCAGACTTCAATCATCATTATGTCAAAATGTCTGGGACACTGGAAAAGCACAGTGAATGATGTCTAATGCCAGTATCTTCAGAGTCACGTTTTCCATTCAACAACATGGAATAATCTATGACATCTTTATCTGGATCTGACCATATTTCAAATCTGACCATATTTCTCTCTGAATAAGTACGAGTCCTTTAAATGTCACATCTCTGCACATTTAAAAATAGCACAAGTGCATTGTTGTTTAAGGGTGGTGCAGAATGAATATCTCTCTAAGCACTTCCTCCTATTGCTACAATCACTTGGCTATGTTAAGTTGTTCGATTATTTTTTAAATCGAGCTGACGTTTCTATCCAAAACAACTTCAAGCACAATATCTACAGCTATATTCCTTCTGGAAAAGCCTCATTCAAGGACATAGTTGTGGTCTGAGTAGTAATCTCTGTAATTCATGGCCCAACCAGTGCTTGAATGTGAAAAGTTTGGGTTTTCAACCCAGAACCTGAACCACCATTTGACCTTGACCTCCAGTAATACAAAAAAATGAGTTCTAGCACCAAGATTCAGTCAGACTTTGACTTAGCTTCAGAAATTTGGCACAAGGTAGATGTGTTTGCAAACATATTTTTGTCTGTATAACAGGAACTTACTAGGTTTAGCATTAATGACGAATTTATCTCCTGAGTGCGAGGGGGGAAATCGGGAGTCGCCCATCTCTTCGCTGGAGCCAAACTCTACAACCTCAACCAAACTCAAAGGAACGCTCCACTTGAGCAGGAAGCGCTGTCCTGAGGGGACACCTTCACCTCCAGCTCCCACATTCACTCCATCCTGAGAGGGGCTGAAGGAGAGAAAAGCTAGTTTAATCAGGCAGAGGAGAGATTTATGTGGAGGAAGAAGGTTTTACTGTAAAGATGTAGAAATTAAAATGTTTTCTGGAGTGATGTTGTCGTGCTAAACAGTTCAGACTGACAGTTATTACAGATAATGGATATGTGTAACGGCTCATACCGCCAGTTGGGGGTGGCACACATGAGCACATCATTCAGAAGAAAGACTCGTCGTTCTTTTGTCTTAATGATCTCCCCGCGATCATTATAAACAGTTTCCACAACATCATCAGAACGAATCAGATAACGGCTGCCGCTGCTCAGCAGCTGAGAGACAGAGAGAGAGATAAATGGAGAGAGAAGCAGAAACAGCAATAAAAGGACTGAGCTGGGAATTAAAAATTTAAGGGTCCTACTTAGTCACAGTCATTCATCAATTGAACCTGGACACACACACACACACTCATCCAAATTGGTCTGAGGGTTGATTTGAGGAACAAAATGGAAAGTAAAACATGCTAAAAACATTAGCTTCTACTTATTACATCATGGCAAAATATTGATAATATTCTATTATTAGCTAAAGCAGACCATAAAAGCTAAACTTAACGTAATTTAGAGAGAAAAAACACACCTATCCATCCACATGAAAGAGCAAGAAGTCACAGAGTGCAAAGTTTAGCAAAATATATCAGAGCTCCAGATGGTGTGGAGCATTCAAGCTGGTTCTGTTTAGAGGATTGGCTCAGTACTGACTTCATATCAGCGACAGCAGGGCTTCACTAAAATCAGACACACTCTGGGTTTAACCGCACTATGTGAAACTACCAAATGTCAAATAACGAATTAGACGAAACACCCACACACATATACATTCATACACTTTTTTGAGGTGTACTGTGATCAATCAGAGGACAAGTTCTCATGCCAGGTCTTGGAGCAGAGGGGCTGCAGTACCTTGTTGAGGTAATGTTCATTCATAGCCTTAGCGATGTGTCTGATCTCACAGCGCTGATCTGCCTCTCTTTTCCTCTCATTTAATTTTTCGGCAAGCGTTTCCAGTTCAGTGAGAGCCATCTGAAGAGGAAGACGGTCGGGATGACCCACCGGCGTGTTCTTTAGCATGTCCTACACAAAAGATAATGGATGTTAGCCTGTGAAAAGTAACAGAAAAACTGAATAAATAAAAATCTAAGCATCTATGAAACAGTTCTGCCTCATGTGACTTCGTGAACTACATGAAAGTGCCTCCACATCAGAGTGACTGTTGATGTGATGCGGATCAGAAAGAAAGAGGTGCCCTCTTCTGGAGATATCAAGATTTTTAAAATATTTTAATATACTGGAGCACATGTGCTTTTTTTTTTAATACTAACAGAACTAAAAGTCTGTGTGTGAGTGTGTGTGAGAGATAAGACGCACTTGCAGCAGCAGTATAAACTGAGGGAACCGCTGAATAGGCTTCATCATCAGTCCATAGAGGGTCAGACGGTCTTTACTGGTCTCCTGACGATGCTATACACAAATAGAATCAGCAAAGCTCAAGAATGAATTATGAGCAAAAACATACACTACTGTTCAACAGTTCGGGATTTAGATCACCAAAGCCTTGAAGCTTATTTTTGTGAATTATGTAACAGAACAGCACAGAACTGGTTTATATGTAATTACTGCACCACAGGAATATTCTGGACTTTTGGGATGTCTCACCTTGAGGAAGTCAAGGAAACAGGGCTTAGCGGCACACGCCTTCCGCACCACTCCCATCGCCAAGCTGAAGTTATTCACATATTCACTGTAAGCGTCCAACACCATGGACTTAGAAAACTGCAGAAGAGACAGAAAGAGAGGTGACGGCGAGTGGAAAGAGAGTGGAAACCATAATGCTTTTTTTATGAACTACAGTTTCTACTGTTGCAGATACACTTTAGACACACACACACACCTCACAACAGCTGGTTACGGGTGGAGAAGGTTTGTACATGTAGAAACTCAGATAAAGGGTGTGGTGTGTGATTAAAAGTTTAGAAAAGGAGTGTAGACGGTGCATGGAGGCGCAATATTAATGTAGTTCTTTTTACGTAGAAAAAAGACATACAATTTAATAAAACTTTGATATCTCACCGATGCTACAAACACATCTCCGATCATTTCCAGCTCATCCCAGTCGGACACACGGCTGGCCAGTGCCATCTGGAACAGGGCGTGGCACTGCAGGATCTCCCGAATCCGATAAAACATCACCTTGCGCTTGCGGTCACTCAGTAACCGAGGCTCAATCTCAGCAAGCGGCTTCTCATATTGCTGTTATGTGTAAAGCACGTAAAAAGAATTTACATTATTGGATAATTAATGTGTGCAGAAACTAAAATAAAGGTTTCACATTACAATGCATTTAAAAAACAAATTTCCACTGCAATGTAAACCAGATCAGACAAAAATAGTACAAACCTCTAAAATTCTCTTCAGAGCTTCCAGATAATTCTTCTCACTCTCTAGAATCATCTCCAGAATGCATCTCCTCATCACCTGTTTACATGTTCATGCACACACAAAAACAACATACAGGGGCACTCAAGTCACACTCAGAAAATGTATGCATTTATTTTAAAGAAATTACTTCATTAACTACTCTTCAAAAGTTTAGAATCAGTAAGATTTAGTTGTTTTTGAAATAAGTTTATTTTGCTCAACAAGGCATTTATTTGATCAAAAAACAGTTGTGAAATATTATTACAATTTAAAATAACTTTGTTTGTTCGATTTTAATATATTTTAAAACGTAATTTATTCCTGTGGTGGCAAAGCTGAATATTCAGCAGCCATTACTCTAGTCTTCAGTGTCACGTGATCCTTCAGAAATCATTCTAATATGCTGATTTGGTGCTTTGTCTTATTATCAGTGTTGAAAAGTTGTGCTGCTTAATATTTCTGTGGAAACCATGATGTATTTTTTTCAGGATTATCTGATAAGTGAAACAGTTCAAAAGATCAGCATTTGCAATCTTGAAATCTTTAATAATGTAAAAGTCTTAAAAGTCACATTTGACTAATGCATGCTTGCTGAATAAATATTAAGAAAAAATACTAACCCCAAACGTTCGAACAGTACTGTATATAAAAACCCTTGTCAACAGTTGATTAAAAGTAACTGAAAAAATGGCTCAGAAAAGGCAGATAAGGCTGTGTAAGACAGAACCTGGTGTTGAGAGAGCCCATCAGGTGCAGGTCCCAGCACCGGGTCCACATTAAAACACTCCACCTCGATGAACAGATCTGACTCTTCATCAAAGCAGCTGGGTTTCTTCTCTAAGGAAATAATGATGAATCAAATGAATTAAACAGAAGGAGGCTTTTAATCAACCATTTGTGAATTAAGTAAGCTGGAGGATGTACTACGGTGCTCTTACCATGACAGAGAGATCTGGTGCGGATGAAAGATCGTCCCTTTCTCACCGCGGCTTTGGTTTTCTGCAGACCATCTTTAGTCCCATCTTTGGCTGCTTTTACGAGTCGCTGCATCTGTAGCACATGCAACAGGTCTCAGCAGTGAGTTCTGAACTACAATCACTTAAAATAACAAGGGGGGAATTCACTAAAAATGAGAGAAGATTCTAACTGTGCTAAAAATTATGCAAATCAAGTAACAGTACACAAAAACTCTATAAAGAAATCCATACATACTGCAATCCCTGATTCATTTTAGCAAAGTTAGCTTCAGGAATACTGCAGACAAAAGCGTCCCAACTCTTTAGCGAATTCACCCCTGAGATTTCACATCATTTTAACAGACATTCACCATGGAGAATAACTATCCAACTAAAACATAAGATCTCAACAAAACATGCATCCAAACACAATGATCAATCGACACTGACACCAGATGAGTAAAATGAGGGATAAGAGAACGTGAAGACTGATGGATAAATAAGAGAAACAGCGACTGCAACTGCAGCTCCGCAACTGCAAAAGTAGTCCCATTATACCAATATTTAATAAATTGTGTGCCCTGCTGTGGCAGTCACTGAAGGGCAAAATTGTATACCAACAATATTTTCAAACACAGAATGACATGCGAAGCCAGAGGATGAATGAGAAGTAAAATTGTGTACAACATTCACTCTCCACAGATGACACCAGCTACATCTATGGAGACACAAACAGATGTTTAGTGGGGATGATGGAGGTCTGGGGGTTAAACAGAGGAAGCCCACCACCAGGACGACTAGCACAGAGAAGAAAGAGCTCCTCCAGGGATGGAGAGCTGTCAGTCAGGCTGACATACACATTCTTGTTCTTTTACCTTTTGCTCATGTTTGTGTTTGAGCTGCTGCAGCTCTACTGTCCCCACTGTGTTTGCCATGAGATCTCGCATCTTTCTCTCATAATGCTCTTTCAAACGCGCCAGATCTTCAGACAGCTGAACGGGGGGCAGAGAATGAGTTACTGCACACAGCCGCCATCACTCCTTCACTCCCTCATTCTGTTCAGAATCTCACTCCAGTAATATACCTAATGTTTATATGGCATGCTGTTGTTTTCCATTTACTGAAAATAAAATTCCATAATATTTATAATAATTATTTTCTGTAATGGCCAATAACCAACATTACAAAATTAGAATCAAATGAATTCTGAAATAATTCTTAAATACAGCATTACTTATTTTAAATAACATTACATAAAGATTGTGCAAGCATAGTGAGGCATGGGACAAAATTATTGCTGGTTACAAATGATGGCATGCCACAGATATGATTCAGAAATATTACTTCAAAAAAAAAAAAAAACGTGGAAAATTCCCTTAACACATTTCATTTTGAGCACTTCCTCACAAACGAATCTTAAACCTCTCACACACCTACACACACACACTCTTTAACAAACTCCCACAAATCCCTCTCTCAATGACGGTTTCAAAATTATGACTCTAAATTTGTTCTGCCACTTCAGAAATAAACCAATGCCTTGGCCAGACTTTGAAATAAACACACACACACACACAGTATTCACTCAAATAAACCTCTTCTACTGAATCAGTGCCTACACACACAAACAAAACCAAAACCATTACAAGCAGATTGAGGTCTTTTCCCGTTTTTAAATATTAGCGTGGGGCCGTGGGCAAATGTGAAAAACCTATGATCCAGGCATCAGATCTCATTACAATCACACACACACTTCTAAACTTCTATCACACTGCATCTCTGCTGTTCAAGCCAAAGAAACAGCAGAGGAAAAAGGAGAGAAATAATGAGAGAGACAGAATCAGTATGAATACATACATGCGTTTTCTTGCTGGGTGCACGGCCCCTGACAAAGGCATCTGGGAGGCCATTCTCTCCATGTCCATTCTCTGTGTCACTGGCTTCCTCATAGCTCTCAAACTCACTGGAGCTCCAGCCGTTGTCCAGAGAGCTGCTGCCGCCCTCTTCCCCGAACTCAACATCATCATAGATCATCTCATCTGGGTCTGACATGCACATAGTTTTCACATTATTCAAAAACAGCCCCCATTCTATCCCTCATGAGCTGTAACAACAGAGCTGTCAGTCACATGACACCATCTTATTGCTGAGCAGGCAAATTTTACTCTCAGTTTTCATCTCTCTCACATTTTCATAGCCAGTCTACAGGGGTGGAAAAATAATTGCTTTATAGATGCATCCATTTCTTTAAAACAATTCTAGATCAGTCAATTAATCTGAATTTGAATGTAATCATTAATAACTGTAGTTTAAAAAAAAACACATGCAGGATAAAACAGATACAAAATGTGCAATGTGGTGTGCAATCCCAACATGAACTTGTCAGCTGTTAGCTGGAAGGTAAATAAACATGAAGAAATACATCATTCAATAAAGACTAGATGAACACACCTGTAGTTGATCCAGAGTTCTCTCTTGGTACATCATCATAAATCACTTCATCTGGACCTAAAATAAATAGAAACATGCCAACAAACACACATGGCTCAAATTCTCATGCCCAACCAAACCAAAGCAATGCAGTGGGTCTCAGAGTGTGTGTACAGTATGTGTTAATGAATCCTCTGAAAGAGGCGTAGCAGTTCTTAGCGAGAAGGAAGGAAATGTCTGAGATTCTCTTCAGAAACAGGAAACACAGCTAAACAAGGCAAACAAGGCTTCATACATACATTCGCATGTAAATCTAAGCATTTTATTAGCCTAGCAAAATGCTGAGAACTTACTCTCCATCCAGGCCGTGTTTGCTGGGTCTGACACCCACTTGGTAAGAGCATCTTCCTCTCTGATGACTGGACACTCTTCACTGAAAACACTGGACATGCCACTTGGAATAAATATTCATAAACACTTCCCTTTAAAATATCCATCTGTGTTGGCACTGCAGTATTCAAATATTATTACGAGAACATGAGGTCCAAACTGTTTTGTACACGAGCATGCAAACCCAAAAACCCCACACAAAAATAGAGGAAAAAAACCCTAAAAGTACTTCATAGTACAAAATGTTACATACAGCAGAAGGACATTACTTCCTCTGAGATGTCGAATGCATATTAAAGCAGTACTGAACATCTGTGCGGTCTCACTCACCTGTCCACTGGAGTATTTCCTGCTCCCACCACAGTCACTGCAGGACACAACAAAACAATTGATGCATTAACAGAATAGCACCAATAAACACATTCAAATATGCTTCATAAAATTCTTAAAATCACATAAAGGTGAGTTCAGACCATGTCAAAACCAAAAAAATTTGCAGGTTTATAGCTCGAACACCATTACACCACAAGGGGACAGTAATGTGCTGAGTGTGTCTGCTACAAGTTTCAACACACCTCCTCATCTCTACCTACACTACCAGTCTAGATGAACTTGCCTGGATGCAAGTTTCTCATCACTGTAAAAACTTTGTACCTAAAGGATTAAGCTTAAATGCATGAAATTATAATTATAAATTGAGCATTCCTATGAATTAGTCATAAAATGTAAAAATAATGAATAAAATCTATATATAGTGTGCACATGAATCTATATATTCTAATTTAGAGCAAAGGGTGGCTACTTTGAAGAAACTTAAACTATAAGATTTGATTTTGATTCAACATTTACACTGCATAATTTCCATTTTTCGAAATATAACACTTTTGATAATACTACTGCTTTATTGACGTGCCAGTTTTAAAGTGGTTTTAAAAAACAACTACTAATTATGATAAATGTTAGAAATGGTTTTGTAAAAATGTGTATACATTTGACAATACTCGTGTAAAATGTAGTTAACATTCAGGCTACTGTTACACTTTAGAGAAAACAGGAAACCTCATCACAGCCAAAGCCACAGCTAAAATTATCCCCAACTTCCTCATGGCAAATCTTCAGAAAAAGAAGAGACCGAGCGCATGAGAGAAATGAGGTGAGAAAGTAAAAAGAGAGAGGATATGTATGGTGATGGTGAACCCCTATTCCAACCAGATCAATGGAAAGAATAAATGAAATGGAAACAGGTGGGAATAATCTCTCTTTTTACCATCTTCATCCATAGAGAAGTGTCGGATGATAACTGGGGTGGTGTAGGTTGGTGGGATCACCGGCACATTTGAGGGCGTTGCATAACCACAGGGCACTGGCACTGAATACCCAGAGAGCAACCCAGGGCTACTGGGTACATCCTGAATGTCTCTTTCACTCTCAATGGCTGGGGGAGAGTAGGGAGGGCCGCTCTGCTCTGACAGCAGATGCTGCTGGAGAGGGGCGATGTCAATCACAGAGTAGGGGCTGACTTTGAGCTTGGAGTTGGACGCAGAGGTGGTAACCACACCGGCACCTCTGTTCACTATTGATCAGAAAGTACAGTGACTTATCAGGAAAGTCTGAGACTGTAAGTCTTGTAGGAAAGTGAAAATTGCATTTCCATTGGAAAATACACAGAAATCTCAGTTTATGCAGCTATTCTAGTGAATAATCTTTGTTAATTCATATGATCTTATGTGGGAGGGATTCCTGAAACAACTAACTGAAGATCACCTACATTAACAGTTAGAGAGAAAGAGAAAAGACAGAAGGAAAGAAAGAAATAGATGTAACCTCAGAAACCATGCAAGAATTAAAAAAAGCAATTGGACGCAGTGGGCTGCCACCAAAATGGCTGTCGATTTGATTTCCAGGCAGTTATACACAAATCTGTTGTAGTGGGGGGATTGATAACTGTACACATTCAAAAAAATTAATTGCCATGTTTCATGCTCACAAAGGCCAGTGGTTAATTGCATAAAACTCATTGTAGTCACCATAAACCATCACAACAAAATACTGTAGAGCAGTTTTCAACGATTTTGTTGGTAAGGACGCCCAAATATAATCGTCCGCTGTGAAAACCCCCCTTCATTATGTATGTAAAAAAAGTACTATATATTTTCATGTATAAAAAACTCAATTTATACTGTGAAAAATATTATGTGTAATATTGTACAGAATTTTTTTTTTCAAAATTAGTTGCCTTTTATATTTTTATTGAACTAAAGAAAATCATTAAAACATTACGTAAGTACAGAAGACCTTTGTTCATCTTCGGAACACAAATCAAGATATTTTTGATGAAATCCGAGAGCTCTCTGAGCATGCATAGACAGTAATGCAGCCGACACGTTCAAGGCCCAGAAAGGTATTAAGGACATTATTAAAATAGTCCATGATGTGACATCAGTGGTTCAACCGCAATTTTATGAAGTTACGAGAATATTTTTTGTGTGCAAAGAAAACAAAAATAATGACTTTATTCATCAATTTCTTCTCTTCCATGTCAGTCTTCGACACCCATTCATGAGAGTATCACGACGCATGACGCAGGAGATGGCGTTCTGACATAGAATCTGGATTTCACTGCGCCTTGTTTACAATGCGTCATGATACTCTCATGAATGTGCGTCAAAGACTGACACAGAAAAGTAGAAATTGTTGAATAAAGTCGTTATTTTTGTTTTGGTTGAACCACTGATGTCATATGGACTATTTTAACGATGTCCTTACTACCTTTCTGGGCCTTGTCCATGTCAGTTGTGTGTTGCCGTCTATGCAGGGTCAGAAGATTAACAGAGGTCTTACGGGTTTGGAACGACATGAGGGCGAGTAATTAATGACAGAATTTTCATTTTTGGGTGAACAATCCCTTTAAATTGAAGCATATCTGAGATTAAGACTTTTTTCAAAAATCTATATTGCTGTCAATAGAATAAAATAATCATATTCTTGAGATTTCTATCTTTAGAAAGCAGAATTAACTAATTAATTTTAAAATCAGTTTCATAGATAAAATAATTCATCTTAATATCTGTGCTTACATGTAAACTTACCGTCCTGCTCGCTGTCAACAGCAGCTCCTATAGCGCCCTCTGATGGTGGAGGAGGGTCTCTGGCCTGGCGTTCTGCTGCATTCTGACACAGCTCTATGGGAGGAGGGGGTAGATCACACTGTGGGAAGGGTGCATGAGCCAAAGAGCTGTTATTAGTGGGGCAGTCCTGAGGTGGAGGGGGCAGATCAGCCTCTGCAGTGAGTAAGTTCTCTGGGTTTGGACTTGTTCCATTTACAGGTGCGTCCCCGGCTGTTAATGAGCAGGGTGGATGCATTAAGATTCCCTCAGGTTCAGGGGGTGGCCGATCTGCCTCGGGGGCTTCATCACCACTGTCATCAAACTCAAACTCCTCACCTTCATCTTCGTCATCCAACACTAAAGAGAGAGAGAGATAGAAGTGTTTTGCTGTTTCCATCGCATTGTTTTACTGATGTCGAGTATGGTATAAACTATAAATTAGAAAAATTAGATAGTCTGTGAATGGAGTATTTGTGGTTGAGGTTTGTTCCCGCCTTCCTCTCTGCCAACCCAGGGTTCACAAAGTCACATGTTCAGATTTTTAAGAGCAAATTCTAATTTTAGGTTATGTACAAGAACCCTTTTCTCAAAATGCCTCTAAGAGTCACACATGGCACAAAGTTATAAGGGAACAGTGAAACAAAACCAAACACCAAAACTGGTGTACAGGAAGCACACATATGCTGAAAGGAAACAGGGTCAAAAAAAGCACACTGCTTATTTTCCACAGGGCTGAAATGCTAAAGAGGAAACATGTCTACTGGGACCAGAGAACAAAAGACAGAGAGAAAGAACTAAAATTCAAATACATTGATCAAAGATTTCTCACTCATGTGGTTTGGTTTGTACATTACATGCTGCCATTGCAAAACAGGCTACTTATACTAAATTTAAAGGGACAGTTTACCCAAAAATTCTGTCATTATTTACTCACCCTTATGTCATTTCAAACCTGTATGATTTAGCTTCTTTTGTGGAATGACTTACATTGTGGTCTGTTAATCACATAGCTATTGATTTGGCTGTTGTATGAACTAGTACTATGATACTGTCATGGAGCTTTTGTTCTTTTTTTAAACTTGAAAACTTGTTTTTAATGCAAGAAAAAAAAGTGGAAAATTACTAATTCTACTAAATTTGCATTTTTGTGTAAGATGAAACAGTCATACAGGTTTAGCACAGCATGAAGGTGAGTAAATGACAGAATTTTCATTTTTGGGTGAACTGTCCCTTTAAGGAAAGCTTTGTCTGAGTCGGTCTTTAATGATCCTACATCAGCAAAAACTGAAAAACCGAATGGCAGCCTTACAGTATGGATGAAAGACATCCAAGAATGGAGGACCGAGGAATAAGAGAAGAGACAGGGAGGGAGCCCTTGATGGTGTAAGGCCATTTTGAATCAAACACTTGGCAGTTCTTGACCCAGTGAGTCACTCTTTAGAAATGCGAGTAATGTGAGAGTCCTTTTCCTCCATTCAGCTCTGGATCCCCCGTCCAATCGCAGCCTCCCTCACGGGGCTGAAGTGCACACAGTGGCCATTATACTAGACTAGAGTAATTAAGCCTGTTACGGAGTTTTACAGACAGTTTATTTATAAAACAAGACTGCATATGCAGACAGTAACATCTCTAAACCACTCAAATTCATTACATGGAGTCTTAAATAATGCTTGTTTTTCCTCTCACAGGGATAATGAGAGGAGTGGTAAAACTGAAAGACTCTGGACCTCTGCCCAGGAAACCATGTTTCCGCTGACGGAAACGGTTATCTCTTAAAGTTGATAAATCCACCATGGCGTGCTGGTACGAGGTTGCTCACTGGAATAGCAGAGATTCCAAACATAGTGAAACACGCTGTCCTCCGACTTCAGGCTGCAGTCCAAAAACAACCTTGACAGACCAATTTCCTCTGCTGACTTCCATAAGTAAAGCATTTCTCATTTTAAGCCACTTAGAGCCAGGTTGGACACAATTATTAGCACCCAATTTTTTTAGGCTTTCTGACCCCAAGAATCAACTTTGGCCACTCAAACTCTCTTCCTCACCATACATTAGGATGATATAGACACATGTCCTCTTCCAGGCAGATTCATAACATTTTCTGTTGATTGGAACCTCTTAATTATTGCCCCAATGGTGGAAATGGGGATTTTCAATGCTTTAGCTCTTTTCTTACAGCCACTTTCTATTTTGTGAAGCTCAACAATCTTGTTCTGCGCATCACTATATTCTTTGGTTTCACTGCTTGTGATGGATGATTAAGGAATTTGGCCTTTGTGCTCCTCATATTTATAATCCTGTGGAACAGGACGTCATGGCTGGACAATTTCAAGCTCCTAGTCAGCCTGGTGTGCTAATAAATGTAAATATGAATGAGAATATACTTCAGAGATATTTTACTCATAATAATTTCTAGGGGTGCCAATAATTATGGCCAACATTTATTTCATCATGAGATTTTCTCCCCACTTTTAATTGTTTTACTTCAATGAAAGGTTAGAATTTTTGTGATTTTTTTTTTTAATGAAAGGTCAAAAAGATCAACAATGTAGATTTATTTTCACAGTTGCCTTTGCTCATATTTACCAAGGGTGCCAATATTAGTGGAGGGCACTGTATATATAAAAATATATATGAAGTGTTTGAATATTTGGTTAAATTCTACACAATATCCTAAAAAAAAAAAAAGTGAAAATGAAAATTGGCTTGTACCAAAGATCTCACTGGGGTCATATAATACAATCTGACCAGCAACAATTTTAAAGGATAAAAAAACTGTACAGTGTGAACCCATCTTAAAGTAGTTTGGTTTACCACTACTGTTACTTGTTGACAGATGGGATGTGATCTTTATTCATTGTGAGCTGGCAGGAGCGGCGTCCCTGCATGACTTACAGCTACATGACAGTCGGCATGCAAACAAAACAATCTCCATGCACCCAACTTGACATTCAGTAATGTGAATGATAGTTTACAACAAAACAAAAAAGGATAATCTGACTCCATGGTAAAACAGCAGCAAAGCTTAAACGCATCCTGAGGTCAAACTATGACTTGACTGAGCACCTGGTATAGGAGTACAGGGCAGTACAGGATTGCAGAGCTCCACTTGGCCACATCCTTAAATCCTTGAGAGGAAATGTAAAAGGTTAAGTGTTCAGGAAAGGTGGAGGGGCTTCAGATGAGCTTTTTTGTTTAACTGTGTGATGGGAAAAAACACTAGTCTGAAAAAAGTAATTGAGGCATGAAAAGAGAGAGTGGCTTTATCAGCTCTCTGTGCTAATGAATGGAGTAAGAGGGAGATAAAGCACGTGGGAGTTTCCATATCTTTGCAAAGATGACTGACGGTGAATATTTATGCAGTAAGAGCTTTAAAATAATGTGGAAAGTGTGCAGTTTTAGTTTAAACTTTAACACCAGCTGATCAACTCAAATGGGTCTCATTCCTTACAATGCTGATCCTTTGATTCCCTGATTAGCTGTTTTCAGCAAAGATCTCAGAGCTACAGACAGTGTACAATCATAAAATGAATACCAATTTGCTGACTAAAAATGAACCTTTAATGGAAATTATGTTTTTAAACTGCTCTACTGAATAGTGGTCTACCAATATATCAAATTTTTTCACATTGGATGATACTTTTTTTTCTGTTTGGCCGATAAGTGTCAGACTTTTATTTTGTCATCACTGAGAACACTAGTGCCTGAAGACATGTGCATAAGACCTCCATTCTCTTCATTAGTTTACGGTCTTTAACAGTTCTGTCTAATAAATCATTAGACAAAACCATTTTTAAAAAGAAAAGTAAACCATATATGAAAAAAGTATTATAGCGTTTACCTTTCTTTTATTAGCAATATAAAAGCAAATGCAATTGGGATTTAGCAAATATGGATTTAAGTCTAAATCATATAATTTAAGTTTTTAAAGATCTAATAACTATTTAATTCATTCATTGGTTCATTTTCATTTATTAATTCATTATTATTTAATTCAATATAAATGAACTGAATTCAATTGTGTAGATTATGGCACAGTAAAAATGAACCATCTAGCGTACAAGCTGTGGTACAAGAGGTATGTACAAAGACTGGTCTGAAATGACATGAGAGAGTAAATGTCAGCAACTATCCCTTAAATTATAGCACTACTTTAATCAGGTAAACTAATCTTTCTCTCTGCATCAAGACAGAGCCTCTGTTTTCTGGCTGCTTTTTTCACCTCCCCAGCATTCGTTCTGGCGTTCCTCCACTCTTCAACCCACACGCTCCTTTAGTGGCTGAGCCATGGAATGTGTTTACACTGTTCATTCTCTTCTCCCTATCCTTCAGGCTCCCATAAGCATGATATTCCAGGGCATTCGACACAGTGAGAGTGAATATGACCATGACACCGGTCAGTAAATCTTGCTTTTAAACACTTTAAAAATAAACCGTTCCATTTGTGCCAGAAATTTTTAACCACCATCTGCATTTACACACGTATCTGCTTGTCAGCGTAAACACAGTGTGTGTGTGAGCTGTAAGATGACAGCGTTGCTTACGGTCAGGTGGAGGAGGGGGGAAATCCTCCATGTCCATGCTGAACACACTCTTCTGTGATCAGGGAAAGATCCTTCACCAACTCTTACAAACCTACAGGAGCAGAGAGACAGCAGACAGAGTTCACCCACACAAACACGCACAAGAATAACCTCACAGCTAAAGCAATAGTTCATCCAAAATTACAATTGTGCTATAATTTATTCATCCTTGTGTTGTTAAAATCCCATATGATGTCATATTTTCCAGGGAACACAAAAGTTGATATTCTTAAATAATTGTTACGCAGCTCTTTCCATTCAATGGTAGTTCATAGTGATGATCAGGGCACAACAAACTCCAAAAGGACCATTAAAATTGTCCATATTATTTGTGAGCATATTTACATTTATATAAACATTTGGAGACAATATCATCACAAAAATATAGCAATTTAAAGAGATAAGGAGAGATGATAGAAATGGGACCCAGAAATGGGTCCAAGACAAATATCACTGGCCTCAACACACAGTCATGGGAGTCTGCAGAAGTCTTCTCTATGACAATATTTCCCGTTTTATGTTTTTTTTTTTAAATGCTTGTTTCTGTATGTTGGTTGCACAACAAGACTTTGGTGAGCAAAAATTCTGTAAATGTTAATTAGAAAGTCAAAGCAGTTTTGTTAAAATACAATTTTTCTATGCAAAAATAAAAGATTATGCCAACTAGTTAAAGTCAGCATAAAATATTAATTAAATTTTGTAAATGCATGTTATTTATCTTAGTTCATTTCTTCTTTATTTTTTTTGACATCGTAATTTTTAAATCAAAATGTCCTAACTCAATCTTCTAGTGAAACTGACTTCTCTCTGGTGAAATACGCTTGACTTCTCCAATCATTTAGTCTGCTTAAAATCCTTTCATACAATCAGCTGCAAGTTTGTATTCAATTTAAAGTTTAATTCTATACAATTAACAACCACTGTGCAGAACCAAGTCCCCCCAACATGTTTTTCAATTTCTGATAATCCAAAAATCTCAGCCCGACACTGACATAACGGGTCGACCAGTGGTGTCAGTTAGGAGCAAATCGTCTCCTCACAATTTACCAACCCATCACATCTGCGCTGACTTACCTCAATCATATTCAACCCTGATGACTCTCATAATCTTGCCTGTTTGTTCACTTGCACTGATATGATTTGTGTTATCGCAGAAAAGTACTCCACCAGAAAATACTGGCCTAAAAATTCCTCACTGCACTTTTAGCAAGCTACACTGTACAGTATGTCAAAGTCAGAAAACACACGTTCATGCAGACATGAGCGACCCCCCTCCTATCTGTGACAGTGAGGGATAGAAAAACCCTTTATCTCTCTCACACACACACACACACACACACACACACACACACACATACACATACACAGACACACAGACACACAGACACAACAGTGCTTTCCTCTCAACGGTGTTTCCAGATGAGGGTCAGTGGAACAGTGAAGTAATTCTGTGGAATAGAAGAGTTTCTCATGAGGCTGCTGTGTGTGAGACCCTCAGGGTCAGCGAGAGACGAGGCGGACTGACTGACGCACGACTGTATTATCACAAACAATAAGATCCTGGCACAGACACGCAAGCTGTTCTCCCACTATCACAGTACTTAGTACATTCTACACGCCACGACTCATGAGTCATTAACAAACATGACGAAAAGAAAATCTGTTTTGCTGATAGTCGTTTGAAACATTTGGAGTGACATATTGAGAAGATAAAAGGCATTTTTTTTACTTCCAAAACTTGACTGTTGCACATAATTACAGCTTATACTCATGACACAGTCTGGCAATGGTCTAAAAATAAGCCAGGATGCTGACTGCTTGTTTAGTCTACACACTCTTTGAAGCTTATCTTTCTCTCTCTCACCCCACAGACTACATACGTCATAACAATGTAGATGAGATATGAAAGAAATAAGAACAGAGGTCTACCTAACTTTGGGTGGGAAAATCAGACATGTATTCTGCTTGTTAAGTTGACATAGTTGTTGCAATCTACGAGTAAAAAAAGTTGTCTGTAGTTTTTATATTTACCTTATAATACCTATACAAATGTATGGTATGTTCCGATTTCATAACATATTTCTGATAAAGTGTGCTTTGTGGGAAAAGAGCAAACACACACACCAACCAAAAGGAAACAGAACTATGACAGAGTGTGTGAAGCTTGTAATAACAACCCACCTGTGCAAAACAACACAAACATCAGAGCCACATGCGCAGAAACACTAATTTATGGATCAACACTAACACAGCACATTTGCCTTCAGAGTATCATGACACCATGACAATATTTCACTCAAATGACAGGTAGTTAACAAGAGGGAGCTTTAAATGACACGCTTCAGAGGTCTGTGGCTTTAGGAAAGGCCGCAATGGAATATAAATTCACTCCTACATGACAGTCTTGAGATTTCTTTCTCTGTTCTGATGAATCGACAGACTGTAAATCCTGCAGACCACATTACCGCTGCTGTGAAACAATCAACACTGAAACAGTCATTCATTACTGATGATCAGGATATTTAAAATAAAATGATATTAACACCTTCATTTTTACTCTAAATGATACCCTGAAAGTCAAATGGATTCTTTTTTTTTACGAAATGCATGACAAATCAGAAAAGTTACTGTGCACACAAAGTTCTTGTGCAATGTGCATGAAACATCCAGAGAGTTGGGAACAGATTTGTTAGTGAATGAGTGTGTATTAGCATTGACCATGATGAGCTGATGTTTAGTCTGAGCTTGACTTCTGGGTGTGTAACTGTTCAGGCGAGGAAAAAACCTTGCTGTTTAAATGTGGCTGCAGGGCTTCTGCCAGTCTGCAGTTTCCTGTATCAATTCAGACACGTCTGAGAGAATGAAATACGTTTCTTAGTGTAACATACACAGACATGCCTCATTGCACACATTTAACTTCATTTTTAAGACAAATCTATGGAATGTGTGAGACCAAACCTTCATAATTCATTTTACATTATTTAATTGATAGAATAAACAGCATTCAGTTACAAAGCTAAATTTGATAGTCGTTTGAAACATTTGGAGTGACACCGCAAAACAATAAGTGACTGCCTAAAGTTTCAACAGCACTGTTCCAAAAAACATTTTGTTTCCACAAAAAGATTAAGCAGGAAAACTGTTTTCAATACTGACAATAATAAATGTTTCACCAAATCAGCATATTAGAAAGATTTCTGTCATGTGACACTGAAGACTGGAGTAATGGCTAGTACTGAAAATACAGCTTTGCCATGCAGGAATAAATCACATTTTACAATATATTCAAATAGATAATGTAATAATATTAACAATATTACTGTTTTTACTGTATTTTCCCCCCAAATAAATGCAGCCTTTTAAGCATAAGAGAATTCTTTTAAACAAACAAAAACAAAAAATCTTACCAGCTCCAATGTTTTGAACATTAATGTAAATTCATCCAGATTTGAACTGACCACCAACAAATTTCTTGTCACACAGATCAGCTCCAAACAGGACGTTGTATGTTAAAGATATTTTTTTCAGTAGTGTGACAGTAGCTCAGATGGTTTTTAAAATATTCCAATAAAGTCTCAAGAGATTTTGAAACTGTTTTGCCTTATAGCAAATTAGTACAGTCTCATTTGTACCATTTAGCAGTGAAGGTTCATGCTCTTCTTTTTGTTATGAACCATACTTTTCCCTATGAATCATATAGGGTAAAAATTTTATAAAATTACAACTTTGTGTTTTATCATGAGATCAACTTAACTTTTCCAATATATTTTCCAGGATTCATTTGGATCCCTGGAACACAGCATATATTTAGTTATATTGCTTTAATGTTTTATTTAATTCAGCCTATTTGAGTTACAAAAACTATGTTGTTTTTATGTTGCTATCTGAGTTATACAATTATTAAAAAAAAAATACTTAAAGATATTGCTTCATAAATATCAACGCTTGCCAAATGATTGAATTATTCAATTATAAACTATATTTCTATATGAACTGAAACTATATTCACATTATTGTCTTTTTACCATATTGTTGTTGTCACTGTTTTTAAAGGTCCCCTGAAATGCTTAGAAACACGCTGCGTTACTCTGTGTTGACGTCATTTTAACTGAAACAGGAAGACAGGGCGGGACATATCAAGCAGCCCCGCCCCTTTTTGAAATAGCCAATAGCGTTCGTTTATATCACAGCTTGGGCTAGAGCCGTTCAGAGCCGTTGAGCTCCGTAAAGCCGCATTTGACAGGGTATGCCCGCCACAATCTCATCCATATTGCTATAAAATATAGCATTCTGTGTAGAATTCAAATAGCTCCGATACATTTTGTGGTCTGCGCCGACCTCGCGCATGTGATCCGCTCCGTGCTATCGTGTATCTGGGCCGGAGCAGAGTGTGTGTGCGGTGCGGTGGTTAGCGTGACAGCGCGAAACCAGACTTCTTTTTTTCTTCAATGGAAAGCATATTTACACTGTTTGACTCGTTCCCTGTCCCCTATATAGTGCACTACATGCCATTCACTGTACAGAAAATACTAATTCTGTGGACAAGTGACCGATTTCAGCCGCGGCTTCAGCGTCTATTTTATAGTGTAGGGGGCGGGCGCTTCGGATTCTAGAGAGCATTTGATTGGACAGAAAGTTTGATGAGAAGCTGAAGTACGATGTGACGTCAAAACAAATCGTTGAGCCGTTTTCGCGGAAGTGACTAACTGAAAGCTTTGAATGCTTTTATCTTCTAAATGCGAATTTTGACACTGTTTTGGAGCACACTGCCTTATAGATAACCTTAAGACTAACATATTGATACTAACACCCAAAAAACTTTAATTTTGATTTCATGGGGACTTTAAATCACTGATAATTGTCTCTTACAGTGAGCTTGGAAACGCTGCAATGGGAAATGGAGGTTTTGTGACCTGAGAGCAGAATGATTTATAATGTTCATTTTTTTAACAGAAGAAAGTCATCCCCACAACATGTAGACGAGTAAATGGCAGAATTTGATTTTTTAAAATCAATTTTAACATAAGCAATCCACTGACACTTAAAGTCGCAATGTAATGAAAGTGGAAACATTTTTTATGTATTGTGATGTACATTCAAGTTAAAGAGATTATTAAGAAAAATAGGCTGTGACTTCATTCAAACCATTGGATGTTGATTGGATGGAGGCTAATCTGAATGTGAGCTTATTATCACTTGTAAAAAAAATTAAAAGATTTTGAGTTTAAGTGAACTGTTTCATGCCAACTTTAAGGAATGATTGATTAAGAAATTACGGTACATGTAAACATCTCACATCTTATCATAATACATGCCTTAAGGTCTTAGAATAAATGAATTAAGGTCCATTGAGTCTGAAAAGATGTTTAGGCTGCTGTTCAAGGCCAAAAGTTTAATTCCCAGTTAGACTTACAGAAATACACTTTAAAAAAAAACACTAAATAATTACTTGGAAGAGCAAACGCCATGCCATCCATCTATTTTCTCCTATAAAACAGTTTGAAATGTGTTAAATATGGACCTTAAGCAAACTCTGTGACCTCCAGCAACACGCCTAATAAGAACACACACACAGGCAGGTCAAAGCCAGTCTAACTCCTGCTGGGTTAGACATTAAAGACAGACGATGAGGAGACGAGAAATTAAGTTTGATGATGTACTCTAACATAACAGCCATGATATCCTGTTATCCGAGTGTCACCATGGTAACAAAAGAACTGCAAAGCAGACATAAAGGCTTCAGTAATCCTTCACAGAAAACTCTCATACATGGACATGGAAGCTCTAACAATTAACAAACATGGATCCCAACAAAACACCATCTGCCCCAACTCTGTTAGCACAACAAAACAACTCAATGAATATCAAGCAAACAAAGAGTTTTTTCTCTCACTTTTGTCTCTTTCTCCCACTGTGTCAAAGTCCCCCGTCATAAATTCCATTTTCCCTGCAGATTCCTTCAGGAAGGATTTGCCACTCCACATCGAATCACACAGATATGATTCACCCCTAAAGAGCTCTATTGTATATCAACCTCTGTCCATGTGGAGCACTACTAGAGAAAAACTCAAGGAAATGTTGATTGGCTGCAAAAAGAAATCTTTGCTTAAATGAGCTTCAGGCTATGTTCAGCAAGCTTGAAAAGCTTGTAATCCACAGCCTTTATTTACGAAGAAGATCACTGTGGGTGGAGAAGCCCCGTGCTCCAGTGGTGTGGCTATTTGCTAAGCAAATTGCCAGCAATCTGAGCAAATCCTGTCCTCTGATGCAAAGTGAGTCGGACAAGCATGGAGTCAAACAATGCAGTCGCGCACATGAGAGAGCTCTTCCCCCGTATCACACACACTCATCTAGGAAAAGGCTAGAGGGCCTCGGATTCCGAAAAGCACAGCAGCTCCCAGGGAAGGAAATGCAGTAAAATTGAAGGGAAGTGGAAAGTTTCACTAATTAAAAAGAGCATTCCTTAAATGTTTCCAACCATTTGATCCATGTTTAACTGGGAAATATGAAGCTCTGAACTGAATGACACACTGTGTGCACAAAATGCTCTGGGAACTATTGAGCAAACTTCTTGTCTACAGGCACACAGAAGATTTTATCCTTCAGCCCTAGTCCAGATTGTCAGTACTGTGAAGGACAAAAACAGTATATTTCAAGAATGAGGAGTCAAACTGAATTTATGTTTTCACAAAGGACACAACGATAAGCATCTGTGGCATTGAAAATGATTTCATTTTTTGTAACACAATAAATTGATTGTTGTAGCAGGGTTATTTTCCATGATTTTTAACAAATTTTACTGGATTTTTAAAAACCATTTTAACCTTCCACAATGTGAGCTTACTGCACCTTTACTCAGTAAGTTTTTGTATACAATTGGCTGGTTATTATTTATCCCCAAAGCAGCATGTTTTACACTTACTGACACCTATCAGAGTGGATGCATTTAATGTGTGTACTAATTGCTGCTGGTCTGCATTGAAGCCGTGTATGGCAGGTAGTTCTTGTTTGGACATTTGGACTCAGTCTGCTGAGTCTCAATGACTAGATGAATGATATGAAGTAGATAGAGAAGTATTATTTTTGACATTTAATCAATTGCATGACAGAGCTGGTCTTGTGATGTCAACATGTCAGCACCCAATCTCCATGTATAATAAAACAGCTTTTTTCTAGAGGACTGATAGGATTATGATTGATCTAACATGAGTGTAAATCATATTAGCCATATTTCTCAATAGTATGGTTCATTTCTTTATGTGACAACGTTTTTAACGTGTTTAAAAAATACTGACTGCATATTTAAATGACCACAAAGAGCCACTTCTAGCTGGTCAAAACTGGAACAATTTATAATCATTAAAATTCCAAGATTTTAAAGAATTTATTAGTTTCCAGGACTGGAAATCACAATTTTAAAATTCCGTGATATTTCCAGGCTGTCTATGAACGTGTAACGCTGTACTACACGTTTTACATTGATTAGATGATACGAGCCCTGTGGATTAGGTGGTTATTCTGAAAACTCGACGTTTACTAATGCCGAATTGAACGCATTTTTAATCAAATCTGACATGACTCTGCGCAGTTGTCACTTGCCACGTAAAGCGGAATCCAGCAGGAAAAGCGCAGCCGCCCCATCAGGCGCAGATGTTGAAAACTTAAAGAAGTTATTAAAAATATATCACCACTGCGACAGAGCTCAGGCAATAAACTTTATAACACGGTGCAAACTGCAACAAATACGTCAATACCACGCTAAACATGTGCGCGTTACAAATTACAAACTTATTTCAAACATAATAGACTTTCAGTGGATTCTCAAGTGTTTGGGAATTTCATGCGCATCATTTATCAACTCACCATCTTTCTGGATCCTTCTGGAAAAAATGAAGTTTAAATTCCGTTTACAGTGCCGCAAGACCGGTTAGGTGAAAAACAGACAAAACACCATAAATATTCTCAGTATCATTTTTAAGGACTATAGGCAACTTTTCCACTGCTTTTTCCCAAACGCGAGCCAACCACTCCATGGCCCAGCCCACCGCTGCGGCCTCATTGGTGGAGCCTTTTGTTGCCGGTCTCTAATTGGTTTTAAGACACGTCAATCAAATTCCCTGAGTTTCTCCGTGAGGATGGACACATGCGTTCCAATGTGTGTCACGTGATGTGTGTGACCCGCTCCGGTGCACATTCTGCCTCTCTCACATCCAGAGTTCTACATATATTAATACAATCCTTGAAAATCTTACAGAGACTGCTATAATATATAGGTGAAATAAACACCTAGATTAAATACAAGATCAAAGCATTTCACACAGTTACTTGTTTTCCTAATTATAAAATGAAAATCAAATAATAATTTTGAAGTAGGTTGTGATTTATTGTAGTCGATTCCTTTCACAAATGTCCAAAGTTTGGAAAATGATTGCAGTATATTTGCAGCGCTGTACTGCACTCTAGTGGTCACACACAAACTCGCTGAATGCTTTTATACTTTATGGGTGCTTCTCAAACGGAAGGCTGCATCCTACCGAGGCTGTCCTTCTTAGCTCAGTCCTTCAGAGTCTTGGCTATGATTCTAGGCATGAGTCCTCCTCGGCATTAAACGCTAGAATGAGACAGTCTAGTAAGTGCGCGTGGCTACGACACATATGTTCCCGCCCTCAACGCCACGTACGGCACGAAAATACTAATAAAACTTAGTTTTGGAAAAATACTTTGTATTACAAATCTTTATATTATTTTGCTTTCTATTAATGCATTACAATGAATCACAGTCGTCTAGTCTCCCCGTGGCTTAAATTATTGGCAGTTTAGCGTTTAGTAAGTAATTGACACCAAAACAAAAGATAACATCTATCCTTTCATGTCCGAAAAAATATTTTTGTCTTACATTGCATAATAAATTCAGACAAGCTCAGTACTGACTCGTTTTTCGTCAGTTTACTTTCATGAAATGGAATGGGTACAATCGTCTTCGCGACAAAATACACGTCCACAGACCACAGGATTTTTTTTTTTAAACAATGTAGTTCTTTATATGCCGAAACATCCTGCGAATTCAAATCTGGCCCTCTGATTTTTTTTTTTTTTACACTGATAGGCCTTCTGAAACTAAATTTAAACTACTGGTGTCTTTGATAATTATTTGCACGACTCATATTCACATGCCAAAAACTGAAAAAGACCAGTTGAGTAGCACTTTCTACAATAAACTCTAAACACATAGGAAACTAAACAGTTAAAATGGGTATGCAATGCAAATGGGTATTGTTTTTTTCCCAGGGAGAAAACCAAAAAAGGCAAACATATTTTGGGTGTAAAACCTTATGGCGTGTTAGAATGAGCCGTTTTAGGGGGGCGTGGCAGAGTCTTAACTTTGATAAAGAATATCTCTTTGGTTTTGAGACTTTAGTCTTTGCAACTTCAGGGATCTTATCTATGCACAATCAGCTTGTAACACTCCAAAGAGAAAGGAAAACTTGAAATCGCATCATATGACCCCTTTAAATATACAACGGATTTCCAGTCAACATACTGAAGACAACTGTGTGAACACAAGCAGTAGTTTGTTACAGTTTTGAATTATTGAAACTTATTATATGAAATAAACCATTAAATGTAGCAGGAAAATAAGTTTAAATAATAAAACATGGTTTTGGTATACATAGAAGTACATATGAATTCCCAAAATGAAAAAACAAAAAAAAAAAACAAGAAAGATAGTTTCAAGGTTAGTAACATTTTGTGTTATTTCCTTCTCTCTCATTCGAGAGTAACGAATGGTGTCTGTGAGCTATTTAAATATAATTTAGCTAACCTGCTGAACATGTGTGACAATTCTAAAGTTCACACAAACCCGCGGTTCTGACTCTCACATTGTGAAAGAACAGGCTAAAAAAAGCTGAAACGCTCTTTTTAAACCTCACTGAAAAACAAGAGCAACTAAAGCCGAGGTAATTTAGCAGCTGATGGTAGCAGTTAAACTGCCCCTTTGTTACTATTACATTACAAAATATTCGTGGAATAAATAAATTCCTTAATATTTATATAATACGTTTTTCCACCTGTTGCTATCAGATAATACCGCACATCCTCTTTGTGTCATCCTCAAAATACCCTGAGCTGTTACAAAGGTCAAGCATTGTACTGTTGTTTTTTCCTTCATTCATTTCCTGTAGTAGCATTAGATCATTTATGTGCAGATTAATTTGGCACTGTTTTGTATTGTCTGTTATATATGCTTATGCTGTATGCATCAATGTGCATTTTCTGTTTTGCTTTTCAACTTCTAAAGAATCTATATAAAGTATGACAAAAAGAAGAAGTACTGAGTATAACCAAACACACAAACACAGAGGAACTCTAGTTCAATATCTAGTCCTCGAAATGAAACAATATATTGTCAAATAAAACAACTTCCTTTCTATCCCTTATCCCTCCCTGGTACACACGCACGCACACGCACACACACACACACACACATTCCTTTCTACAGGGATAAGTCAGTCTCTGACAGAACAAACCCTATTTATGCAGAACACAAAGAGTTTAGTCAAACATCCACAAAAACTCACAAAACACTGCCTACCGCCATTGAACACAAATACACAACATCTGTAAAAGAAAAATCCTTCGTACAACTAAAACAAAAACAAGGTCTGGTGGCTTTGAGCTGAAGTTTCCATAGCAAACTGAGTGACATTTAGTTAAGTAGAGTGTGGTTGAGCTGACAGACCATGCTTGGTCATGAAGCAGTCAGGGTTTTTGTTATCACAAAACAAATAACTACTGGGAGTAACAAATATGAGCCTATCAAATAAAAACTTAAGAAAAAGACAAGGATCTCACAGCTTGAGAGATGCTGTGCTGGACGGACTGCCAATGTACAAAGAGAAATATGACTCAAACAGCTACTCCCGAAACACCCAAACACACATAAAAGGCTTCTTTCAGGACGCCCAACTTAACTCAAACAGGAAGTTGAAAGCAAGTTGCATAAACAGAGCTCATGATATTTGCAGGCCCAAAGAAGTCTCCCCGAAACATGCACCAGACTTGTAGTCATTGTTTTAAGTGCCCAAAAATATATAGATAGAACTACTTGAAGGGATAGTTCACCTAAAATGAAAACTCTGTTATCATTTACTCATCCTCATGTCATTCCAAACATGTATGACATTCATTCTTCAGTAAAACACAATAAATAATATATATATTAAAAAAAAAGTATTTTAAAAGAAATCATTTGGTCCATCTAATGAAAGTCATGAGATGTTGTTTGGACCCCACTGACTTTCAGTTATTTGACAAAAACAGTCATTCTTTCAGGTTTGGAATAACATTGAGGGTGAGTGAATGATGACAGAATTTACATTTTTGGGAAAACTATTCCTTTAAATACAGACACTTCACCAACTGTGCAATATGTGTGCTCACGTTGTAGCAAGTAGTACTAGTTAGTGCTAAACCTAAAGCTCTTTAACAAACCTTCAAATAATACTCACTAAAAACACAACTGTACAATATTGTATATTATCTCTCTGCTTCGATCTGCTCTGTATAGAAGACTGTATCTTCACCAGACTGTATTTCTCATAAGGCTTTGATCTTAGCGTTAATCAGCTGGCATGGGGCTTGTGTCGAGCCTGGTCTCGGATTGGTTCGTTTTCTGCTGCAGGTTTATTGTCAAAGTTCCAGTCCACAGGATTAAGAAGCTGCAGGGTTTTCTTATGCGTCCAAATGGGGTTGAGGAAGAAGGTGAGCAGGAAGAGGCCTATGAAGAACAGCAGTCTCTGAACCAATGGGATGTGGGTGTTCATCTCCTCCCAATGATTCCAGATTACCCACCACATGTAGTAGGACACAACCATACGGCAGTGGAACATGTGAATCATCACCCACTGGTTAGCTTTCCAGAAGAGCGTCTTAGACCAGCCCGCCTTTGAAAAGAAGGAATGTCAGAGATAAACCAAGTTCAAAACAGGGGTTTATTAATTTCAATGTAGCTACACAGAGGGAGAATCTGAATTTCAATTTCAACTGTATACGGACAGATTTTTGAACTCTGATCTCTGAAATCTAAAACAAATAAATCGAACAATTCAAACTGTTGCTCCATCATGACAAGAGTTGATCTGAACTGATAATTTATTGCTAACGCCTGCTATGTTTACATTAAAAAAAGGAAAAGCAGTGCAGTGGAATGCAGAAACGCATTGTGTGTGAATGGCCCCTAAGGGGTTATTCCCACAGAACACGTTTGGTTTTTGCATTTAAAAATATGAGACACAGGGCAGTGGATTGAAAAAACTATTTTTTTAGAAGTTGAACTTTAAATATATTATTTATTAACTAACTGGACTAAATCTTAAAGTTTTCAAGCAAAAAGTTGTACTTAGACCTTTGCTTCTCACCTTAAGAAGCATCCAGGAAATGCAGGTGAAAGGTGTGCTCATCTCCAGCAGCAAAGTCACCATAGGGAGGAAATGACCCAGCCAATTCCACACAACCACCCCGGCAAACCCTGCGAGGGCGAAGAAGTGATGCATGGCCAACGGCAGGTCGAAAGACAGGAATGCCAGGTTGGACGAATGAAGGGCCACATTTTCAAACAGGAAGAAGCCTGTAGCGGTCAGCACGTTGAACCAGGACCAGTTCTCCTGCCCGAGAATCTTATCAGAGTAGACGGCAGAGTCCTCCATAAGCACCCGAAGCCCTGCCACCGTGCTCTGGATGCCAAACACAGCCCTTGTCGCAGCCAAATCCCAGAAGACCTTGAAGCAAAGATAAACATGTTATTGTTAGGAAATTATCTAGACACAAAAATGTCACAATGTCATATTAAAGGAACAGTTTATGCAAAAATCTAAATTTGCTGACAGTTTACTTATCTATCCTCAGACCATTCAAGATGTAGATCGGTTTGTTTCTCTTTATCGAAACAGATTTGGATAAATTTGCATTGCTTTTTCACCAATAAACTCTCTGCAGTGAATGGGTGCCGTCAGAATGAGAGTCTAAAAAGCTGATAAAATCATCACAATAATCCACAGGCTAATCAACACAACTCCAGTTCATCAATTAACGTCTTGTGAAGTGAAATATGCACAGATCATGCACAATTTACAAGCAAAAACAGTTCAAAACAGTTCTAAATAAATATGTCAGTGGATTCTGATGTGAAATGACAACGGGGGAATAGACTTTTTCATTGGATGAAGCATTATTATGGACATCACCTTAAAGATGAATTATTATTATTTTTTTATTACAAACAGCTTTTTGCTTCACAAGACATTAATTGATAGACTGGAGTCGTTTGGATTATTGTGTTGTTTTTAATCAGCTGTTTGGACTCTCATTCTGACGGCACCCATTCACTTCAGTGGATCCTTTGTTGAGCAAATGATGATATGTTAAATTTCTCCAAATCTGTTCTGATGAAGAAACAAACTTATCTACGTCTTGGATGGCCAGAGAATGAGTGGATTTTCAGCAAATTTTTATCTTTGGGTGAACATTTCCTTTAAAAAACAAAAAACAGAATCTTTTAAAAATCAACCATATTAATGGGCACCTTTTCTTTGGCTGACAGTGAGCGGTAGGTGTGAAACAGCAGGTTAGATAGGATGTGAGAGAGGAGGAAGATAAAGGTGTAGAAGATGAAGCCCAGGCCGATGATTTTCAGCTGAATGTCCTGGGAGGAGTAGTCCATGCTGAAGTTGTGACCTGAGGACAGTACTAAATTATCTGGCTGGGAGGACATTGCTCAGATCTCCGAACAAATGTCAGACTGCAGTGTCCTTTGGTAATATGCCACAGTCAGTTCCCATGAAACCAATTACCAGTCTAGAACTAGAAAGACACTCATTATATTCCACAGACACACCCTCTGGCCCATTTATCTGCATTACTCACTGAGAAAATACTCTGCCCTTACTTTACTACAATTCTGACCTTAAAGAGAAGTAAAAATAACTGTAATCTAAATTCCATCATTCATATGCTCAGTCAGATTTATGCTTTCTACTTCTCATTTACTAGAACTATAAATAAATAAATATCATTACAAGTCAGTTAAAAGTCTCTGTTTTGGTTTTTGTTTTTTTAGTGTCATTGTTTGTCATTGTTCTTACCTCTTGAAGACGAAATAACGGCCACGAAACACATTCCTAATTCCTTTCTGCGTATTAAAGACCTAAACTATTTATTATTGTCTTTTGATGTGAACTCGACAATAACATAGCTCACATTCCTTCACCGGGCGCGAACAAGTGCACAGTTACAACAAACCCATCGACAGATGTCATCGTCATGTGACTTCATCTAATCACATGACCAGGCTAATTCATAAACGCTACTCTGTCACCCTCTGCTGGCAGTATCCAGAAGCATCAATAAATATACTTTATGTTCGAGGATATAGAATGTATAATTGATGTAGGAAGTAGAATTTGAAAGGGGATAGCAGTAAATGTACTTTTTAATACAATATTTTATTGTACTTTTTAATACAATATTTTATTTTCCATTATGAATTAGACT